AGCTGACGACTTGTCAGGAAATCATCACAATCATCGCAAAATTCGTTGTCACCCAGGTCGGATGTACAAAGTTCCTCGAAAGATGACCCTTCTGAGATAGGATTGCCAGTGGCATCGCGGAAGATGCTTGTCTCTGAGCTCCAGGTAAGGCTGGGCACGTCGCTCATATCGCCATTGCGGAGCTTCTGCCAAGATGCTCCATTGTCAGGAAGTTCCACGTTGCCAGCGATCTCAAAAATAATGAGTCCAAGTGAGAAAATATCGGCGGGCTTATCGAATCGGCCCATAAGAATCTCCGGTCCAATGTATTCACGGTCACCTTCGCCCTCAATACCGTCCTCTGCAGGCCAGCGTGCCGCCATGCCAAAGTCACCAATCTTCAACGTACCCTCAAAGGTGACCAGAATGTTGGCAGGCTTCAAGTCAAGATGGATGAATCCCTCGTCATGGATTTGCTTCAGTCCCAGAGACATCTCTAGCAAAATTTTCCAGATACGGAAGTCATCGAGTCGGGCCTTAAGTCCAGCTTGGGCTAAGAAGCCATCCAGGCTACCCTCTTCGCAGTACTCTGTTTGAATGTACAGATGACCATTGCTCTCCCAGCTGTCCATAAAGGAAATAACATGGTCACAGTTGGTCAAAGTCTTGAGAACCTCGACTTCGCGAATACGGCGCTCACGATCCTTCAGCCCCAAATAGGGCTGCTTGCTCTTCTTGACAGCCCACACCCGATGGGGGAGGGAAGTCGGCGACCTTGGTTCGCTTGATGGAAGAGAGAAGACAGATGGGAAGGACGCGTCGTGAGGCTTCGCGACACGGAAGACCTGGGAGAACTCGCCAGTTCCAATAAGCTCAACGTTGTCAAAGCGGGCTGTCAGAGTGGGGTCGACATCTGGAACATGGTAGCCACTAATCTGGAGACTGGGTCGTCTGAATGATGACCACGAGTCTCGCGGACCAGTTGGAGTGGCGGGAAGTTCATGCTCCTGCACATACTGATGATCACTTGGCACAGAGATCGATAGGCCACTTGGATCGGGAGGGAAGTACTGGTCGCGGGGAGTGTGGGGTGATGCCTGCAGAAGCTTCTCATGCAGCGGACTCGCTGTGTCGGATAGTCGTTCCAGAGATGGGATTTGAGAAGTGGTGGGAGGGTAGGTGCGAGAGGGGAGGAAGGGCTGCTTGGTTGGTGTGGGAGGGAAGTCGTCATTGAGAGGCTGACTGTCATGTCGGGAAGAGGGCGATTGGGCAAGAATCAGTTCATCGCCATCAATGCTCGCGAAACTTCCACGCCGCGAGGCCTCGGGGCGATTAAAGCTGCTGCCGAAGATTCCCATGCCCCGAGCGAAGGGACTTGGCTTAGGACGCGAGGTAGTAGGTGGGTTGAAGGGAGAAGCGGAAACAACATCCGATTGATGAGCCAGACGTGACTTGTCAAACAGCCGGTCCGTGGGGTTTGGCCCAGCGGTGAAAAGATTAACAGGCCGCTTGCACGGTGTATCGGGCATGTTCTTGTTGAATCCAGGATTCTCCTCCGCATTGCGGTTTTTCTTGGAGATAAGTCCAGTGGACATAAATGCTGCAGGCAAAGGCTTGACTAGCCTAAAATTATCCGGGGTAGCAAAAGTCTCTGTTTCTTCTCGTGATATCTGACGCACGGGAGCAGGACGAGTAGACCCGGCGGGAAGAGACTTGGAGAAGTTGAACATTGTTCGTCGGCCCTCGGGCTTGTGAATTGGCTCATGAGTGGGCGAGTCGTCAATACTAGACCCAGAAGAGGATTGAGTGATAGTCCGAGAGAGAGGATGAGCAGCGGGTCGAGGAGGTTGAGTAGTGGTGTTGACAGTAGAATTAGCGGGAGGGTTGGAGAAAAGAGGGCTGGCTGGCGGCCTAGGGGAGAAAATGTTTTCACTGCCTGGTTGGAATAGGCTGCTATCAAACGACATTCGTGGCCTAACAGACAATGGTGTCTCGGGTGGTGACGCCTCAAGTGAATCATCCATAGCCCTGGGTCGCCCAAAGAGAGGTCGGTCGCCGCGCTGCTGTAGGGTTGAGCGTCGTAGAGAAGATGAGCGCTTTGGAATCGTCGCAAATGGACTGTGGGGTTGGACAGGCGTGGGGAAAGATGGGATTTCGTTACGTGTCGGAGATCCCTCTGGAGTCGTGTTCTCGACTTCGTTGTCGAAAATGCTAAACTCCGTTGAGAAATGAGGAGTGTGCACGCTGCGTCGCTTTGCAGAAGGACTGCCTCGTGATGCTTGGTCCAAGTTCATAATCCCGTCGCTGCGCTTCAAAGGACTGCCAGTCGCAAAGCTACCAAAGGTCCCACTACGTCGTTTTTCAACGCGCGACAGTGTTGATCGGGGCGCAAAAGTGGATTCACCCAGCGGGGCAGAAGGAGTGTTAATAAAACAAGGATTGTCTGGGGTGGTACTTTGATCTGGTGCGACGAGATCGTCAAGAGTCAAATCATTTTCTTCCCCAGAAGATAAAGAGATGGGTTGAGTTGGAGTCGCGTTACCACTGTCCGTCGAAACACTCAAAACGCGTTTGGCCGGACTGCGGGGTGATGTCCGTCGACGCATGGCTGGCCTACTGATTTTCGCGCTGGGAGGGTAAGGGACAGCGAGATGAGACTGATGAGACTGATGAGACTGATGAGATGGAAAGAGAACAAAATTGTTCTGCGAGGCTCGTCGTGAGGGTGACAAAGGAGAAGAGATGTAGGCGGATTTGGAGGGGGAATGAGTACGTGGGTTGAGGAAGAAGTTGGAACTCTTAGAGGGGGAGCGCGAAAGTGAGCGCCTCAGTTGGCGGATAGCAGAACTGGCGTCGACGTGATGGATTCCCGAGTGCGATGCCAGATGAAGTGTGCCACCGGAGTCCCGGTGCGGCGAAAAGGTTGCAACCATGATTGGGGGAATGTGTCAACGCGCCGCGCAATGAGTCCAGAATGAAGCGCGTCACACACAACTAAATGCGCACTGGATATCTTGGGGGGAAATAAAGGAAGTAAATCTAGATATCCCGAGGAGATTCGAGATTCAATAATCAAAAGGATTTGAGGTTTAGAGAGCCCCAAAAGTTGACACGCGCAAATCAACAACGCGTCCAGAAAAGAGGAAACCAAGGATACCCAGGATATCAAAGGATACTCTGGATACTTCGGAGATTCTGGATATTCTCCTGGGCTGGATACTCGCGGATATTCGCAAATATTCGTGGATATGATATCCAAAGGAAGGCACGGGGAATGGAATGTTCCAAATGTCGGCAGGTGCAAGTGGCAAGTTCAAGAGTCACACCACTTCCATCTCGGATTCCAAAGGAATTCAACTTTTCCCATGCGCCCTACACACACGGGGGATAGCCCTACACACGGGGAGATAAATGAGATAAACACAACGCGTGACGGTGGTGTTTCACTTTTGATGTGTTTTGATATTTTGATACCCAAGGATACCAGATCGAGGATGCGCGATAGTTGTGGAATGTTTCAGTTTGGATCACACTCTGGTAAAAGTAGTGTCAAGGGCGTGTGTTGGAAAGATTCCAACCAAAAGAAAGAGGTTGCAAGGGGTGAGTTCCCCCAATACAAAAGACGAGGTCAGCCCACGAGGGAGGGCGAATAGAGGAGGGGTTGGGTATTGGTATGTGATTGCCCAAGAATCGGGAAATCGAGCGTGGGTTTGTGGATTTGGACGAAGTTAAGAATGTTTTTTTTTTTTGAAGGCTAAATGTTCAAATCGAATTTTCAGGATGTTCCAGGATATTCAGGTGAGGTTATAGAAATAAAGTCCAAACCGATTAACGCGCAGTCGCGTTGTTGATCGTTGGATGACCCGATGTGGATTAGACTGACGCGTGATTGTGACATAAACAAATATTAGGTAAGCAAACAATAAATATTCCCAGATTCTTATACTCACTATAGTACGGAGTACTTTGTATATTACATAGTACTTTGTATATTATCTTTATTGATTCGAATGAAGAATCATATATTTAAATCAAAAATTCACCTCTTCGCTCCAAAAAGCGTGGGAGAAAAAACTCCTAAAAACAACTGCGCGTCTTCCATTTTGGCATGGCCCCTGCAGTGCGCCACCTCCAATAAACAAAGGGAGGGGTATTTTCTCTTGGACCGATTATTCTATTGTACGGAGTACGAAGTACTCTGTCTTTCTTCCCTTTCTTCTCTTTTTCTTTGCTTTTTTTTTTGTCTCTCAAAAACAAGTACATTTTTTCAATTCTCTGTTATTATAATAATAATAAAAAAAGCAAAAATGAAACAAGAAAAAGAAAAGAAACAAGTACAAACTGACGATAGGCCACGCGAAATCCCCCTTGCGTTAAGTGTATGTCCATCACTCCCTCGCACTGCCTCTGAAAATCCATATCTGATCCATCAAGCCTATTCTCGGAGGAATGGGAGAAAAAAGTCTATAGAGCAAAGTCTACTGGGCCAAACGAGGGGGATATATAAAAAAGAAAAAAGAAAACCTCCATAATGTATGCGCGGAGTACGACGTACCCTATCAAGTGGTACATATGTAGTTTATTCGCCACTTCATACTACACATATAATATAGTACCCTAGGTTATATATCTATATATGTATGTATACATCTAGTTATATATCTCTTCCTATATATCTTATTGTATCTAAACCCTGCAGTTCCTAATCCTAAAAGATCCCCGGGCCCGTCCCGTCCGTGGGTCCCGCCGTCACTCATCAAATCAAAATGGCGTTCTATACAAAATCCAATTGGAAAGGCAAATCATACACATCCGACGCCTCATATGCAGTCTGACGAGCCAAATAGCGAGAGCCAAAAAAGAATCAATAAGAAAATAATAGAATAACAATAACACCAAAAAAAAAGAGATCCAGAATAATCAGGTTATATATACTCCGTACTCCATCCGTACTCTATAGAATCACCCCGGGTTACTCTTCCCCCTCTCTTCCATCCCTAGCATCATTAGATATTCTACATCTATTCGAAGCCTGTCACTAATGTAGACATCTCCCGTTGCATAGCGCCGATCACACTTTCCGCTGTATTTCGGTCAAGACGGGATTCTGGTGCAAAGAGCCCAAAATCCAACCGACCATTGCGGATGGCGGCTTCCACGTCGATCGTAGGCTATTCAAATGTAAGTAATTGCATAAGGCTCGATCACCGTTAGATGCAGAAATGATGTGCATTCACTTACCTGGAAGATGGGTTGAGGAGCCGTCGTTGAGGCGCTTGGATGCTCGAGGCCCGGGCTCGTCTCGGCTACACCCGGTGGCGTTAAACCATTGCCATTAATCTCAATTGAGACTTTTTCTGAAACTGGGGCTGCGCCGCTAAGATCTTCAAACTCCTCGCGTTGAATTGATGTGAGAGAGAACTTTGCGTGATCACCATCGCCGTTGCTGGGTGCTTCCAATTCTTGCTCAGGGAGTCGCAGGAAATTGACGCAAGTGTCGATTCGGGCGCCCGTCCATTCGGCAATTTCCACAAGAGAAACACCCGAATATTCTGGTCGGCTGATCTCATTGATTTCAGTTTGAATTCTGCGGGCCGCGTCAAGAAGGGTGTCGTCGGAATCACTGAGTTTGTCATCCAGTCGTAGTGGAACAATGTTAACCGTGGGAATGACAGATTCGGCTAAACCCTCGATGGAATGAGATCGATTGGCAAGGTACAATCCAACTATTAACCGCCTGTGAGACCCTGCATCATCTGGAGTTTCAGCTGCACTGAATTCCTGCAGATGAACGCGAGCATAGACTGCCAAAAAGACGGTCTGAATGCTAAGACCATGGCGCTTAGCAACCTTTTCAATGCTAGCCATATTTGAAACGAGGCCCGGTCGATAATGATGCTGCACAGAGCCAAAGTCGTCTCGTTTTATCGCTGTTGGGATTTGGCCTAGATACTTTTGCCAGAATTGCCGCCGGACATCCACGGGCGAATGAACATACTGAAATGCCACGAGCTGCGAGAGACCAAGATCGGTATTTAGTTGGGCGATCTCCTCTTGGCTGCAATGTGTCACAAGTCTGTCTATTATACGGGGTAGACTGACAGCGTCATATAGTGCATGGTGGATTTGGAGAATAAGCGCCGTTCCCTTGTTCGTTTGACAGGCATGCAGTGCGACCGGCACTGCCCCAAATTCTTGCTTGAGACTTCTTGAAACAAGATGCCGATCAAACTTGGGATGCCAAATCACAGGAATGTGCACAGTCTCAAACTCGACCTGCACATAGGGCAATAATCGAGAATTGGCAGTGGGAACAAATGCCGTTCGGAGCATTGGGATTTGGTCTGTGATCCGAGCCCAGGCCCGATCGAGTACCTCAGGGCTCAATTGTCGTGATGCCATGTAGTAAAACTCAGGATAGAATACCTCGGGATTCAGAATGTGCATTGAGAGGAAATAGACCTGCCCCGCAGTTGCGGGGAACACCTTCTGCACCCGTTGCGAATCAATACCATGCGACTGTAGGAGTCTTGTCACATCGACACTATCGAGTGACTCGTGGAGAACCCTCGATATATTCGTGACCGATAGCTCCGTCTGGTTGCCGTCGGCTACTTGTGCCATGTTTTCGATGGTACCAGCCCGAAGCATGTCACTAACTGCGAGCTTGACAGACTGCTTCTTCAGGAGTGCAGCCACCTTGATGGCGCTGATGCTGTCCAGGCCAAGCTCGAAAACTGTGGAGCTCTTGTCAATGGAGTCTTCAGGCACCCCGGATGCAATGGAAAGAACCTTGCGGATACTTGACTCAATCGGCGACCATTCCACCTGGTTGAGTGTCCGGGGCACTGTATGAGTCTCGATCTCTTGTCTAAGATCATCCCGGAAAGCCGCTCTTCCACATATCTTCACTCCTTTGCTGGTGAATTCGACAGTCTGTTCAGATGGGCCATCAATGACAGATGAAAGGATACCGCTCATCTGCCCCAACAGCGCAAGAGTATCTTGATCCCCGACAACATTTCCACGACACGCAACCCGCCCAACTAGATCCTCTCCGACACCTTCAACTTCGACGCAAACAGGGTATTCAACATCAGCTGCTCCACCAATAGATTTATACAAAACCTGTCCAGTTTGGACATTTTCCATCGGTCTTTTCTGATACACGAAAAGCGTATCAAACAACGCCCTTGACTCCCTATCTGGTCTGACGCGCCGAAGCGGGAAATGCTGATGCTCTGACATTGCCAAGAGAGCCTCCTGCACATACTTCACCAATTCTATACGCGTACCATGAAGAATAACTCTCATGGCGACAGTGTTCATGGTCGGGAACATCACATGCTCAGAGTCAGCCACATTCCGGCCAGAAAGGACAAGCCCAAATGCCACATCTAGCTTCTTGACATGCGTGGCAAGGACAAGAGACCAACAACTGACAAGAAGCGCCTGAAGAGTAATGCCATGACGTTTGCAGAATGCCTCGGCCTTGGATAGTGGCACGGATAATGATTGCTCTGCTCGGTGAATGATAGCCGAGCCATTGTCAGCGTGCTCCGTAGGCGAGAATGACGCCGGGGTGAAGTTGGATAGAGTTGCTCGCCAGAATCTGAGGGCTTCATCCCCAGATGAGGAGATAATCTGCTCGAGAATATCATCGACGGGTGGGCGGGAACACTCAGTACCAGCATAGGATTTGGCAACATCTTCATGAAGCAGATTGATTGACCAGCCATCATAGAGAGCATGCGCAATCGACAAAACAAGGTACCGCCTATCTCCGTCCACCGCAATGGTAATAGAGAGTAGAGGGCTGCTGATTAATTCATTGCAGGCTCTTGAACGCTGAGTCTCTATAATGGATTCCACAGAGACACCGTGCAGATAAACAGTCTGGAGGTCAATTTTATCTTCGCCATGAACTACCTGAGCGTATGAAACAGGAATCTGCGGATCCCAGACTTCAACGAATGAAGTACGGAGGACGGGGTGGGCTCTAACGACAGCTTTCCATGCCCACTCCATCTTTTCAATGTCCACATCTGGCTCAAGCTCGAGAATTTCGTGGTTGTAATAATGCTTGTACATAGAGGCAGACATTTCTGCTACCATAGCTTCTTGGATGGGTGTAGCTGGTAGGATTCGAGTCGCGCTTGGGGGAAGAAGACATTCAGCTCCGACGAATTTGGTCAACGATCTCTCAAGCTGATTGAGTAATGGCAATGTCTCATCTTTGGTATGGCCATTTGTCACCAATAGCTGCTCGCTCATGACCTTCACTGTACGATGACGCATGATGGAGCTCACGGGAAGTTTGATGCCGGCTTTACTCAACCGCGAAGAGATTTTGATTGCATCAATGCTATCAAGTCCAACTTCAAAGATTGTCGTGTTCTCGCTGATGGATTGCGGTTCAACTCCCGCAAGGGTTTCGATCACGTCGCGGATTTTGCAAGCCTGGGAAGTCCATTCAAACAAAGAGCCATTGTTATGTTCATCATTGGTTTGTTCCGGTACTGTCAGAGCCCTGTAATGACCATTCACTTCACCATTCGTCACAACTTGTGTGAGAGAGACTCCTTTCATCTTGGGTAACTCTCTGTTGGGGTCCTGCGCAAACTCAGAAAGAATTTGCTCGAAGTTAGATAACATCTGCTGAGCATCCTCCGACGATATTGCGTGACTCTTTGCCGCAATGGTGGCTGTCAAAGACTTCTTGCCATTGCGCACAATCTCAAAGGCTAGAGGGTACTCATGCAGGGCCTCTGAGTTGAGTGTGCGCCAAAGATCTTTTGAGAACAATCCGTCATTATCATCTTCCCTCTGGAAGACAAACAAAGAGTTGAAGAGTCGCTCGTCGGAGTTCTTTCCGAGCCATTTCACAATGTCCCGCAATGCGGTATATTGAAATGGAATCATGGAAACGTGGTAGTCATGGCAGCGCCGAGCGACATCAGACCAGGACTCCAACCCATGCAGCTGGACGTTGCTGGGGATCGTGTTAAACAGCGGTCCAATAACATCACCAATGCCTGGTACATCGAGTGTCCTGCCCGAGGCAACGATGCCAAGTGGTGGCACAAATGAGTATTGCTGCTGGAGAGTGAGAAGCCAACAGGCATGGAAAACAGCTTGCTCTGTAACATTGAGAGACCGGTGAAGATGATCGACCTGCTCTGTCAAATCCATTTGAACTTTGAGCAGAATTGGTGCGCTGTCCACTTGGCCATTCTCGGCGAAAGGCCAATCACGGCAGCCGGCAAGATGCTCTTTCCAGAATGTTTCTGCAGCAGGGTCTTTGCAAAGTGGACCCAAGTGCAACACATCAAGGAAATCTGGGATTGACTGCAAGCTCTTGTTCTGGCCGAGATAATTTCGGGCAACCGATTCGAGCAGCAGAACCAGGCTGTTTCCGTCATAGAGAGCATGAAAGATGTTCAGACACATTACCGAAGTCTCGGGGGAAGAGATGACCCCGACTTCCCAAAGATTAGACGAAAGATCGTTGAGCTGAGTGGACCAGTGGTCATGTCGTTGTTTGCGCAAGTTGTCAATCTCCTCTTTAGCACCGACCGTATCAAAAAACCAATCAAGGGCATCGTTCTTCATGATAACTTGAGCATAGCCGTCGGGAGATGGGAAAAACCTGGCGCGCAACATTTGAACATCTCTCTGAGCCTGATCCCAAGCTGCACGCAAATTCTCAAGGTTGACGGAAGGGTCGAGCTCGAAAGTGAAAGATGAGCAATATAATGGCGTGCTGCTAGACAGGTAGTGGTATATGATACCCTCCTGGAGGGGAGTGCAGGGCGCAATCTTTTCAATATCACCTCCAATATGCTCGGTAATGGCGGGGGAGTTCTTGTGAGCGAAAGCCTCGATGCCTTGCTTGGCATTTTGTTGGATGGTTTCCATGAAAACAGAAAACGGGTTAGGCGCCCGTAGAGCCGATACCATCCCGGAAATTGTAGGATCTATGAATTGTTAGCCAAGTATACTCTCAGCCAACACCTGGAAGGTCAGGCTTACACTTCATGATGATTGATGGCTGAGCCTGAGAAAACCCGACCTCCCGGAGACTTCTCGAAAAAGCAATAACAGATATAGAATCCAGACCAAGCTCATAGATACTGGACCATGACGAGATCTTCTCCTCAGAAGAACCGATAAACCTTGCCAGAACAGATATGATCTTTTGTTCCTGAACACTGTCAGTAGGCTGGCCAACACTCATCGAGCTCAATTTCTGAATATCCTCCAGAGAAAGCTCCTGATAAATACTCTTCAAGACTTTCATATCAGCCTTGTTATTGGCAGAGAGTGGGAAGCGGGTCATCGGGATGATATGTGTAGGTACCATATACCCAGGAAGATGTGTGAGGCAGGCGCCCTTGATCTTTGACAGCAGGGCGCGATCATCTTCTGAAGATCGAACTACAACATTAACTGCACGAGATTTCTTATCTGCAGTGACAGACGTGAAAAAGGAAACAAGTTGATCCTTGGATTGCGTGGGGTGCGTGATGACCAGGGTAGCAACTTCGTTCAATTCAGGTGTGGCTTGTTTGATAATCTCATTAATTTCACCAATCTCAAGTCGCTGTCCGCGGAGCTTGACCTGATCATCGATACGACCAAGGAACTGGAAGCTTCCATCGTGCAAAATCCTTACAAGATCGCCTGTGCGATAGATTCGATCGCCGAATTCTGGGAGCTCTTGGAATCGTTCTTTGGTAAGCTCCGGTCTGTTCAGATAGCCCTTTCCAACGAGAGGTCCTGAAACGCAGAGTTCGCCTATGCTGCCGCGTATGACTGGTGTTGTGGTGCCGGGGCTGAAGACATAAGACCCCACATTATCGAACTGCGGCCCGATATTTGAGGCTTTGTCATTGGCAGACATCCGTGGGAGCATGGTGCATCCGATAGTAACTTCAGTAGGCCCGTATCCATTGTAGATAACACCATGCTTGCCCCAGGCATCAAGGATTTCTTGTTTCAGCGCCTCTCCACCTGTGATGAAGACTCCACGACAGAGGGAAGGGACTTCATCGGGATGGACTAGTCTTGCCAAACTGGGCGTGAGATCAATATGCGTAATTTGAAGCTTTTGTATCGTTCCAGTCAGATCCTCAAACAGCAGATCTCGCGGACAGGAAGTGACGCAAATTCCAACACTCCAGCTCCAGTACTGTTCCAAAACACTGACGTCAAAATGGAAGGAGGCAAATTGCAACCACCGAGACTCTTCGTCCCAGTGTCCTGCAAACAATCTTTGGAACGCCAGCATTGCTTGCACAGCATTATCGTGCGTGATCTCACAGCCCTTGGGTGTTCCGGTTGTGCCGGAAGTGTACAGACAATAACAGGTATCATCTGGCTTAATCGGACGTGAAAGTGAGACATCGCTTCTTGAGATCGCATCAAGCAGCCCTGACTCATCAAGCGCCTGGACGTCAATAGCTGGAAGACCCTCCAGCTCCTCTATCTGTGATTGATTGCAAAGGAGTATCTTGGTACCGGAGTCCTCCAACATGAATTGCTTGCGAGAGATAGGGGCACCGGGGTCAATAGCCAGATATGCACATCCAGCTTTCATGATACCCAGAATTGCCATGGAAGCTTCAGGGCACTTGTCAAAGCATATTCCCACGATTCCACCAGGAACGGCTCCCTTTTCCTGTAGAAAATGAGCAATTTGATTGCCGCATTCATTGAACTCACGGTAGGACCAAGTCTTCTTCTGGAGGCAGTCTGCAGTGTCACCGAAGGCAAATTCGAACGCAATCTTCTCGGGAATCTTGAGCGCATTTGCTTCGACGAATTGATGTAGTAAAGACACCGTGGTAGGAATTGGCGCTTCTTTAGCAGGAGTAATAGATAGCAGACTGCTACCCACAGATCCGTAATCGTTGGAGTTGGCATCTGGATGGAAAACAGTATCCTGCAAAAGTTTGTCATACTGACTCAAGAGGATCGTTGCTTGCTCCGTGGGTACAAGATCGGCCCGGTAGCTTAGCGAAATCTGAAGATCTGTCGAGTGTGGAATCAACTCGATAGAGACAGGATACTATAGAATGTTAGTCAAGTCCTGCAAAATCGTAGAGCATCCTGTCTGCTTATTCTACCTACATCAATCTTTGTCTCCTCGCCCATAACATCCCACCCATCAGTATCAACAGCATGCGAGGTAAACTTCTGATATACAAATAGCGTGTCGAATAGTGGCTCATCGCTACCCAGCCAGCGCTGGATATGCGATAGAGGCGCAAACTGATTTTTCACTAATAAAGCGTTCCGCTTCAACGTACGGTCCAAAAGCTGTTGGTTGGAACCATCGATATGTAGGGGGGTCGGCACCGTGACCAAACACGGGAATACCGCATGTTGAGCAGCAGCAGACAAGTTCCTACCCGAAAGCACGGTCCCAAATGTGATATTGGGCTCGCCCGTGTATGCAGAGAGCAAGCGAGCCCATGCAGCTTGTCCAGCTGCTTGTAGTGTCACACCAATATCTCGACAGGCATCTTCAAGAGCCTTGCGAGACTGTGCGCAGCAGATGGAGGTGGTGAGTAATGTTCGCTCGTCTGTGCGGATGGGATTTAAGTCGGGGAATTTGGAGGACTGCACTTCTGGGGCCAGTTCTTTCCAAAAAGATTGTGCAGATTCGCTTTGGTTCTTGCTTTCAACAAGGATAGGGCCGAGAGTTTCGGCGACTGGTGCTGGTGTAGCTAGAACTTTTCCTTCATATGCTGCTCTGACGTCCGCAAATACGGTAGCCAGAGACTGAGCATCATAAATAGCGTGCAATGCAGAGAAATGTATGATAGTGGTATTGTCACCTGCCTCGACTTCAATCCTCCATGGAGGCTGATGAAGATTATCCAAAACGTGCTTTTCTTGAACACTAGAAGTGTTTGCCATGGAGGTCGAGGTCTCGTACCATGGTAGTTTGCTGTTTTCATTGTAAGTTATCATAGCAAAGGGATATTGCTGATTGCGCAATTGAACAAAGCCTGTTCGAAGCATTTCATGCTGAGCCATGACCTTAGACCATGCTTCTTTCAAAACGTTCTTATCCAAAAATGTCGAGAACCTCAACGCCATTCGATTGAAGTACACTTCACCATGAGAATGTGTGAACATTGCCAGCATGCCATTTTGAACTGGTGTGCAAGGGCGCAGAGACTGCACTATTTGCGAAGAAATCTCAAGTTGTTCGCAAACAGATTGTAAATGATGGGTTTGGAAAAGTTCAAAGTCAAACTCAGCTTGCTCAACAACATTTGTGCTAGGAGTGAGAAGAGAAGCAATTTGATCAATAGAAGCAGCCTGATATAAGTAAGCATGTAAAGAATAGAATTCGTGACCAGCAATTAAGCGCCAGGAATAACATACCTCGAGAATATCACCAGATGAGATCTTATACCCTAATCCTCGCAGCTTCGCCGATACCTGAACAGCATTGATACTATCCAGGCCAAGTTGGAAGATCGTCGTGTCCTGGAATACATTACCCGGGTCAACATCAGAAAACCTGCAAAGAATTTCACGAACAATCTCCCCTTCATAGGACCAAGGGCGCTTTTGGCGAGATTTTGTCAGAAACTGGACAGAGTTTGTCGCTTGGAAAACCTTCTGTTCAAAGACTCGAGGAATTTCTGCTCCCAATAACCGCTTATCGGATGCCTGAGCAGATGGGTATTGAGTGATGTGTCCAACAAGGGCCACAAAGTCCCGCGCAATGTTCTCAGCCATTGCTTGTGAGATCTGAGATACTTGGAAGTGGAGGCAGATTTGTATGTTGTCGGCAAACTCATCGGGAACGATCTCACATATCAAAGGGAATCCCATGTTTCCTTCATCTTGAAGAAGCTCCCAGACATTTCGATCGAGATCTGTATTTCTGTTTTGGAAAATGACCAGCGTGTCGAAGAGGCGAGAGCCATCGCCAATAACATGCCGTTGAATACGCCGCAGAGGGCTGAGTTGGTGAGGCAAAATGTCATTATTGCTCCTTTGTGCCAATTTCATGAGGTCGCTATTTGTTGCAATCGAGGAGAACTTGACTCGAATTGGGAGTGTGTTGAAGCAAGGCCCAACTATCTGACCTGCGCCATCCAAGGGAATGGTTCGGCAGCTGAAGACATTGCCGAAGCAGACGTCGGATGAACCGGTGTATAAAGAAAGGAGTCTGGCCCATGCAGCATGGAAAATGTTCAAAGGGGTTACGGAGAGATCCCTGCATTGTTGTTTGAACGATATAAAGGAGCCATTTAGGGATGTATGGATCTGGTGTGATGCATCATCTGCATTTGCTGTGGGCTCAGGTGTGGGAAGGAGGGTTGGTGAAACACCGGACAAGTACTGATCCCAGTATTCGTCCGACGAGCCATGATCAATAGAAGTCATATAATCGACGAAGCTGCGGAATGGGGTGCTTGGTGGCAATTCCTGACTGGAAAGCAACAGTTGGATCTCATGCAATAGCTGGGCAATGCCTTCTCCGTCATACAATGCATGATGAATGGACAGTAGAAGATATGTCTTCTGTGCAGTGGAGTCGGTTATCAAAGTTAGCGAGTAGGGTAATTGGCCGTTGACAGGAGAAAGACCCTCAAATTTGGACTTGCTTTCCTTGATGACATTGTCTAGCGCAGAAGATGAAGTCTCGATATGGGACCACGGCAAGTCCAATGTATCCAGTACAACCTGAGCATATGCGAACCGCTTATCATTAGTCTGCGTGAAACAAGTTCTAAGTATACTTTGCCTTTGCATTATATTAGTCCATGCTGTTCTCATGGCCTCCGAATCGGCGTGCACAAGAAGCAAGAGGTGGTTGAAATAAGCCAAATGACCACTAGACTCAGCTGCAAGCATAGCCTCCTGGAGGGGAGTGCAAGGATAAATGCTCCGAATCGTGATGGCTGCATCTTTGAACTCATCTTCTACTTGACGAGTGAAAATTTCATCGAGCACCGTTGGTGACGCAGCCACCACAGCCTGTTTGGGCTGATACTCGTTAGTCGCGGTAGGAATGACAGCTGCAAGTTGAGCAATAGAGCTATGGCGTAGGATTGTGGACACAGCAAGCCTTCCACATCCGGACTCCTGCAACTTCCGTGAGAAGGAAATGGCAGAAAGAGAGTCTAGACCTAGTCTATAAAAAGACGTGTACTTGCGGATGTTGCTTTTTTTGATGCCAGTAACTGCCGATAGTGCGTCAGAGATGGTCTTCTCGAGTTCGGTAAAACTGTCACCAGTATCATCGGCACTGAGCTTTGGCGAAAATATTGCAAGTTCCTTAGCTGTCAGCTGGTCCAGCCGTTGCCTCAACATAAAGTGATTAGTCTTGAAAGCCAGAGTGAGATCTATTGCGTCCACGAGAACAAGAAGCGATGGAAGGTTAGAAGAAGAGAGTTTCTTGATAAGCTCTTTGAAAAGATCATTCGTAGCTGCCTCGATTTGCACAGGATCTGAGTATTTCGTTGAAGGAACCCAAAATACAGCCAATCGCTGTTGACTCAGTGCTGGCTCATCCAAAATCATGCTTACTGATTCTTGAATATTGTCCAAAGTCATAAGAGCACGATCAACTTCATCGAGATCAATTGACAGAGGATACGACTGTACAAGGCCAGAACTTCGGGAAAGAATGAGTGTACCATCAGCAAGCTGTCTTCCAAAGTCACCCGTTCTGTAGATCCGACCAAATTCAGGATGGTCAACAAATCGCCCAGTCACTGCCGGCTTGGAGTCAGGTAGATAGCGCCCAACTTGATCCCCGCCAAAGCATAACTCTCCAATGGCGCCGCGTGGAAGAAGACTGAGTGAATCTCCATCTGTCATAATCATCGCAGATGTGTTATTCAGGGGTGAACCAATGTTTCGAACATAGGTCGATGGTTGCATGTGACAAAGAGTACATGCATGAGCAAGTGCATTGTTACTGTATGCTTGGTAGAGGCCTTTGCCGGCCCAATTGTGATGGAGCTTGGGAGTCAGTTCTTCGCCTGAAAAGAAGAGATATTGCACACTAGGGACAGATTGCGGGTCGATACGGGAGGCCAGCATGGGCGGCAAGTGAAGGTGCGTTATGTTCATATCTTGACAGACTTGCTCGATGTGAGTCTTCATAATTGTGTCTGTAGCTGAACACAACGTCATACCAGTATGCCAAGCGAGGAATGTCTGGCAAATTGATGCTGTATTCTTGTCAGGAAAATAATCTAGAAATTCAATCTGCACAGGAAACTTACCACCTGATCCTTGGAGATATGATAGCATTTTCGACCCGGCTGGCGTTGGATACAAGTCTGAAAGAGCATTGATATTGCTCTGCAAGTTTTGGCGTGAGATGAGGATGTTTTCGGTCAAGTCATTTTCAATTATCGTCACTTCAGCATATGCAGCATCAGACCCTTTATTGGTATAGGGAATATTGAAATCGTGATAAATATCCAGTGAATAAGAGAGGTAAATCAACTGAATGGAATTTGAAGAATCTAAGAGATGATTCTTTTCCGTCAAAGGATCGACGATGCAGAACTTGGATTTCGCTGTGGAGAGAATAGAGTGAATTATCTGTGGAGATGCCTGTGGAAGTAGAAGGAGACCAGCACCGGCCTTGACAACTCCAAGCACAGCAACGTAAAACTCAAGGGACGTTGTCAGATGAATGGCTATTAGGTCGGCTTTCGTCGCTCCAACATGAAGCAAAAGGTGTGCAAGGCCATTTGCTCGGGAGTTTAATTGACCGTAGGTCATTCTTTCGACCAGTGGAGTAGTAGTTTTTGGCTTCCAGAGCATCAGCTCAACTGCGACCCGATCTGGGTGTGTAAAGGCAATCCTCTCAACGCTAGATGCCAAGCTTGGCAGATCGACTTGCTCGCATGATGTCGCATTTTGAATAGACAACATTGACGAGGGAAGAGAACATCGGATCTCCTGGATCGGAAGCTCAATATTGTCGATCAAGATTGAAGCTACGGAATCGATCTGCTCGAGGAGTATCATAGCCTGCTCGAATGGTAGCACCGACTTTTGGTAAGTCGCTCGGGCAAAGATGTTTTCTTCTCGCGGCTCAAACTCCAGCAAAAGTGCAAATTCTAGAAACTCCCCTGCTCCAACTTCCCGGAACACCGAGCCCTGGTCCTCATCTGACCAAATGCTTTCCTGCCACACGAGTGCCGTGTCAAAGAGACTGCGATCCAATTCAATACCAGAAGCCCTCTTGATATCCTGAAGAGGAAGACTGCCATACTCGAGCGATTTGCGATTCATATTCTGAATGGCGAGGAGGAGATCGGTCACGTCTTGCATTTTATCGAGGTTCATGCGTGTAGGCAAGGTTCTGATACAGGGCCCGATAACAGTCTCAATGCCCTTCAAAGGTAGAGTCCGGCCTGAAAAGACAGTTCCAAAGGTGACATCGCCGGTTCCAAGGTAGGAAGAGAGAATATAACAAAATGCAGCTTGGAAAATGGTCTGCCGGCTTACACGAAGGTTCTGGGAAACTTCGTTCATTTTTGATACCGATATGTCCAGCACTCGAGTAGCCTTTTCAGTAGCATGTATAATATCAGCATTTCCATGGAAAGTAGGGAAATTTGCAGGATAAACACCTTGCAGTTGATTGCGCCAGTAGGCTGAGGACTCTGTTGCCGATTTGTCCAGTTTGTGCTCAATGAAAAGGTTTGCGACGACATTATATGGAGCCTTAGAACTGAACTTCTCTCCGGACAAGATACTTCTGAGATCTTTCAACATGAGTTGCCAAGACCATCCATCGTAGAGTGCATGGTGGATATGCACCAGCACGCGGAGATGATCCTTCCCTTCCTTGATCTGCACTCGAAAGGGGTTCAAGAGATCGTGACCCATACTCAATCCCAAATCGTGGTCAAGTTCCTGTTGCACGGAAATATACTCGGCAATGGTATTCCAGGTGAAGCGACCATATGAGTGGTCTTTGAGGCCGATTTCCACAAATCCAGACCGCAGGATCTCGTTGTGAGCCACCAGTTGATCAAATGCATTTTTCACCGAGGATAAACTGACCGAGGGCTCAAACTCCAGCTCAATCCAGTTGCAGTATGCCTTGTTGTCTCGAACAGTCTCTAAGATCATAGCCTGTTGGATATGGCTACACGGTACGATGTCCGAAATCTGCTCGCCCAACCCCAGCGAGTCAACCCTTGCTGCACCTGCATCTGAGACAAGCTGTAGGATAGTGTGCAGTGCTGCTTGCGTATCCTCAGTTGGGCTCGCCGCTTCAAGGGTGGTGGCAAGCTGCCAGATCCCGCCCACTGAGTCAGCCTCCAGTAGGGTAGCCACACCTAAGCGAATCCCTGCATCCAAGAGATGGGACGCGAGACGGATTGCTGCTAGCGAATCAAGGCCTGCTGCTGCCAGGCTCTCTGTTGACGAGAGTCGTCGGCCTAGCACATCAGCCACGCTTGATACGATAGACTCTTCTTTCTCGTCTCGGCAGGGTTGGTCATCAAAAGACCGAGCGGTACTTCGGTGACGGATGAAATCAGCTTCTAGAGTTTTACGATCGATCTTGCCCGAGGGAAGTTGGGGGAATTGGTCGACAAGAACGAATTCTCCAGGAATCATGAACCGAGGCAAGAGCTGACGACAAACACCTCGGAGACTGCTGTTTGTCGTTCCCTTGTCGGTAACCAGAACAAATGCAACCAAGTTCCCGTCGACGACTATTGTTACAGCACTGCGGACACCGGAGGCTCTGGTGATGACATGTTCGATCTCGCCAAGCTCTATGCGTTGGCCTCGCAGCTTCACCTGGCCGCTGGAAATTCGGCCAAAACACTCAATCTCTCCAGTGGGGAGTATGCGGGCTTTGTCTCCTGTGCGATAAAGTCGGCCATATACCGGACTGTCTATGAAAGCCTTGGCGTTTTCTTCGGGCCGATTGATATACCCGTCTGCCAATTGAGGACCACCCACCACAAGCTCTCCAATCTGGCCTAGTGGAAGGGGGTGAAGCTCTGTGGAAGATGGATCGTCGGATGGAAGTGACATAATGTACGCGGAAACGGTTTTAAAGGGCTTTCCAATCATATTGACACGATCATTGGCCTGGAAATGGGTGGCAGCCGTACAATGGATTGCTGCTTCGGTAGGCCCGTACATCCCATGGAGAATGCCGTCTCTGTCCTCGGACTGGCCAAACTCGTCTACCACATGTCTGGTGAGCATCTCACCAATTGTGAGGAGTACCCGGAGGGATGGAGCTGCCGCTCGTGTGCGCAACAACTCTCCTGCCACCGTCGGAGTCAACTCAGCAGCATCAACTCTCATCGTAGTCATCACATGGGAAATATCAAGAAGCATGTGCTCTCTCTCGGAACCGATGAGGGTTGACCCTCGCATCATTGGGAAAAAGACCTCAAACACGGAAACGTCGAAGGTGGGAGATGCAAATTGCAAAAATCGCTTGAAAGTGGGTATCAAATCATCATGAGCAAGAAGTGATTGAGTGGCAGCAAGATGAGACACCCCGACTCCCTTGGGGCGGCCCGTGGAGCCAGATGTGTACATGACATATGCCAGATCAGTGGGAGTGGTGTCTGGGGATGACTCTGGGCTATAGGTGTTGGTTTGGAGATCGTCCACGGTAAGAATAACAATATGCTCTTTCGGCGGTATCCTTGTTGCAAGAGCATTATTTGTGACCACTACAGATGCAGCCACATCTTGTAGGATAAACTCAATGCGATCTGTTGGTGCATCGGTGTTCAAGGGGCAGAAGGCTGCGCCAGCCTTGAGAATTGCCAGCCATGAAATGTACAACTCCACAGACTGCGGCAAAAGTACTGGCACAACCTTCTGTATGCCCTGTGAGGTCGTTGAGGCACGAATTATCTTACTTGCTAGCTCCGAGGAAAACCGGTCCAAGTCACGGTACGATAAACAACGAACGTCTCCATCTGCAGTGAGGAATTCAATGGCGTGGTTCAAATCATTGAGCCCGCGCAGGGCGAGCTCGTGTAGAAGTTGAGGCCCTGGCAGTGTGGAGGGCGAGGCATTTGAAATGGCTAAATCAGGAATCTCGGTGGCAGAGAGGGTCACTTGTATACTCTTCTGAGCAGCCTGCTCTTGCACGATCTGTTTCAGCTGGTTGCCTAACTGGTACAGGAAAGCCGTGTCCATGCCTCCGGTCGCACGTAAGGCTCCCAACTGAGTCGCGGGGTCTAGGGTCCACCGCAAGACCGGAGGATGTCCATCATCACTGAACAGAGAATCTCCCAACACTACAGCAGTGTGTTTGACTGAGAGATCTGATACGGCAGCCAGATCTGCCGGTTGAACTGTTTGGGTGGATAAATTTGCCTTGACTGGCACGCCATTCAATAAGAAGACCGGGTTCTCATCAGTTGTGAATGCACGTAACAAGATTGCCCATGACAAAGCAAACAAGTCCGAGGGGAGTTGGGCATCCACCTGCCAGGGTACGATGTGAACATCATCACCATCGTCATTGACGGCGGGGAACTGAGTAAATCGGTCCATGGGTGTAAAGGGAGGGGAGTTTTTGGTTTCTCTCTCACTTATCTATATTCGTCAAGTATATACCTCGAGAGCTAATCTGCTTAGTCGATCTAATTAGACGCAACGTGACTGGCTGGCCCAAAGGATCTCTTATGCAAGCGCGTAAAAAAAAGAGAGTTCCACATGATACACGGTTGTTTTTTTAAAAAAAAAAAAAAAAAATTTGGAGGGGGAGGGGGGGGGGGGAAGTAAATGGAGGGGCATAATATACAACATAGGTAGTTTACATTGAGATTTGTATGATCTCCAGCGAGCCAAGCGCGGAAAAGAGAAGAGGAAAGGAATTTTGACCTCGGGGCTATTACTCTATTACTCTATTGCTCCTATTAATCCTATTAATCCTATTAATTTCTAGATATCGTCAGCCAGTACCTTCCTAGATCTATATATTCTATATATTCTATATTTCTATATTACTTTTTGCCTATAACACATTATTATCATTATAAATATTTCTCAAAGATCAGACCATATTTCCGAGTTCCCCCACTACTCGGCTGAATCGCTGAAACAGTGGATATAAGTGTCCTGTTATGAATGACGTAGCCTAAGTTCTAACTTAGAGTATTATATACTTGTAAAACACGATTACACCGGAAATAATATGCCTATTACCAAGTATATAGTACTAGTATATAGTACTAGTATATAGCACTAGTATATAATACTAGTAGATAATAATAATATTAAATAGCCTCATAATATAATCTCATTGTCACCTCCCCCACTTCTAACGCCCAAGCGTAGGGGGAAAAAAAAAAGCAAAAAGAAAAAGCCAATAAAAGCCAATAAAAAAGACCACTGGATATCGTCCGGAGCAATTTTCCTGACCCCCCACTGTAAAAACGAGTCCAATGCGTTAAGCGGAGTAACAACATGCATGTGTACATGTTAATACTTCGTATACCATCTTTGCTCCGATCCCCAATTTTTCCCGACATCGGCCGTAAGGCCTTCTTCGAGAATTAAGGGAATCAGAGAATCAGTTATGAATGGCTGTGCTCTGACCAAACGTGCGCACGAAGGAAAGCATAGAACCTTTTCTTCTTTTATCTTCCTGCATATATATTTATACAGTAATACGTGTAGAATACAAATTATAGGGATTACTTATTAACCGTGCAATATAACTCTTTAGATTAAAAACAAGAAAACACCCTACAGTGGAGACCCTTCAACTGATTGATAAAAATTTGGGAAAAAAAGAAAGAAAAAAAAATACGCCTCCAGGGAAAATAAGCCAGACTTGGCAAAAAAGCTCAAGCGAGGGCTTCAAAGGGTTTCCGAGGCCTTCAGGAGGATCCACTTGGTCAACTTATCTGATCCGCTTAGATTTCCTCTCCAGAGAGAGGAGAGAGAGAGAGAAAGAGAGAGAGAGAGCATATATAAAGCCTTTATCCTTCCCTGCCCTTTTTTTCCCCTTTTTTTTCCCTTTGAATGGATTTGAAAAGCTTGGAAGCTCCCTCTTGAAGCTCTTGGATTTCCCTTTTCGGTTGTATATATACATACACGTTTTTTTTATTTTTTTTACCTTTACACCTTTAATTATGGAACCTGTAACTCGCAAGTCAGAGCTCTCCTTCCTCAACGACATGGTGCCACGCATCCAACCCCAGTCAGCTCGGTCGCTGTTGCGACCAACTGGTGCTGATGAGATGCACGATCTGCTCTGTGTTGGATTCGGCCCAGCTTCGCTCGCTGTTGGCATTGCCCTGAATGACGCTATGGACCCCGCTCTCGGTGCCTCGAAGAACCCCAACTTCAAGCCCAAGGTTTGCTTCCTAGAGAAGCAGAACCAGTTCGCCTGGCACTCTGGTATGCTGGTCCCGGGTTCGCGCATGCAGATTTCCTTCATGAAGGATCTCGCTACTATGCGTGATCCCCGGAGCAGCTTCACTTTCCTCAATTACCTGCACCACAAGAATCGTCTCGTCCACTTCACCAACCTGGGTACTTTCCTGCCTGCCCGTATGGAGTTTGAGGACTACATGCGCTGGTGTGCCCAGCGCTTTGCCAATGTCGTCAACTACGGCGAGGAGGTCGTCGAAGTTGTCCCCGGTCCCACTAATGCCCGGGGCGTCGTCGAATTCTTTACTGTTGTCTCACGCAACACTGGTACTGGCGAGATCTCCACCCGCAACTCCCGCAAGGTCGTCATTGCCCTCGGTGGCAAGGCTAAGATGCCTCCTGGTTTCCCCCAGGATCCCCGCATCATGCACTCCTCCAAGTACTGCACTCATCTACCTCAGATGCTGAACGACGATATGGCCCCTTACAACATTGCCGTCGTCGGCAGTGGTCAAAGTGCCGCTGAGATCTACCACGATCTGCACCGTCGCTACCCCAATTCGCGTACCACGCTCATTCTCCGTGATACCGCTTTGCGTCCCAGTGATGACTCTCCCTTGTACGTTTTCCTATACACCTCCAAGCACCATAACCAAGCTAAAATTTTGCTTTTCTCTCTCTCTCTCTTTTAGTGTGAACGAAATCTTCAACCCCGAGCGCGTAGATAAGTTCTACGAGATGAGTGCCGAGGAGCGCAAGAAGCGCATCGCCGCCGAAAAAGCCACCAACTACAGCGTAGTTCGTCTGGAACTGATCGAGTCCATCTACAACGACCTGTATCTGCAGCGCGTGGAGAACCCAGACGAGACACAGTGGCAACAGCGCATCCTCCCCGAGACCAAGGTCGCCCGGATTGAGCACCACGACGCATCGAACCGCATGCGCATCCACGTCAAGTCGGTCAAGAACGAGCACGAGGGCAAGGAAGTTTTGGATGTCGACGCGTTGATGGTCGCAACGGGCTACCTCCGCGATGCACACGAGGGACTCCTCGATAATGTGCGCAGTTTGCGGCCCGCCGGCGCGTCGGCCTGGAACCCCGGCCGTGACTACCGTGTTACGCTCGATGGTGCCAAGGTCAGTGCCCAGGCTGGTATTTGGCTACAGGGTTGCAACGAGCAGACTCACGGTCTGAGTGATTCTTTGCTTTCGGTCCTGGCCGTGCGGGGCGGTGAGATTGTTAGGTCCGTCTTTGCGGATCAGTTGGCTGGCGCTCCTTTGGTGCAGGACACCCGGGTACGCGCTATGCTGTGAAACAAAATGTGACATGATCGTCGTTTTGTGTCTCGGGTTTGCTTTTGGGAAGTGGGCCGAGATTTTTTTTTCAAAAAAAAAATTTTGTCCGGCGAGACAGCTCTCGATGATTCCCCCCTCCCTTCGCTGTTCTGGGTGAAACATTTAGACATCCTGTGTATTTAGATTTGGTTTTTTTTTTACTTTTCTTTTTCTCTATGCGTTAATGATGAGCATGTTCAATGATTTCCTTCAATTTCTTTTCTCCCAAGTCCCACAATACCGATCGGTCTTAAACAGATCTTCAGACACGATCATCTTCATGTACTTCTGGCCAGGTAACAAGTACCATAGCATGTCCAGACCTGTAAGTGGAGCAAAACCGGTGTACACTGTCCGATAATTTGTACGGTAAAAACAAGTGCGGGACAAAATAATGAAAATCGAAAAATCGAAACTCGTCAAGTTGGCGCTGATCGGTGCTGATCTCAATCCTAGAAATATCTACGGAGTACTCCGTCATTTTTTTTTTTTTTGCACTATTACAGGTTCGTGTCGATTTGCCTCTCTTAACTTTTTTTTGTATTGATTTTCTACTAGGGGATAAACACGAATTCCTCCTAAAAGGTGAAAAAAACATCAAATCAGATAAAGGCAAGTGGGTCCTGCATGGATCAGATAACTTGAAATTTTTTTTTATCTGATCAGATAACCCGGCAGTTCTTTTTTATTCTTTTTCTTTTCTTTCTTTTCTGTGGTATATTATATATGTATTATTAATTTTTTTTATAAAAGAAATGGTATTGAGCTTGACCGTAACTTCTTCTCTTCATATGTACAGGGTATGTACATTATACAATGCACAATGAGAGTTCCCAGTTCCGCACTAAGTAAAAGTGGCTTCCTAGAGCTCCATCACCTGCCTAGTCGAGTCATTAGCGAAATGGAGTTTGCATACACTGTTATAATTTGGTATTTTGTATTGTACACAGTAAACTTGTAATACTGTAGAAATTTGATTCTTTATAGTATTCCTTTTATTCGGAAACCGCACTTCCGTTTATGAATTGTACGATATACCATATAAAACATACAATATATGTAAAATAAAGTTACAGCACAGGGAGATCCTGCATCCTTTCCCTCTGAAGAAGCTAGCATATATACCTAAATTGTTTAATTTATATGTTGTATTCTGCCACAAAAGACCACATAACATCCGTTGCGCATGCCTCGTATTTGTCTCCATAGGCCCATAGACTAGGTCGGTACCCGAGAGATTAGATCTTCCCCAATTTCCCATTGGGTTTCGGCTGTTTCTTCCCGCGATATCGGATGTGTCTAGAGTGGGAATTACTACTCCATACTTGCAGTCTCTGAGTCCCTCGTGGCCCTGTCGTTCGTCTCCCTACCGAGGTAGGTTTCAGATCGGGGGGTCTTTGACTCGGACTTGTTTCGGGATTCACCATTGAAACCCCTTGAATGGATCCTATATGTTATAATACATATATGTATATCATTGTATCCATATATTGCCTATTCGGTATCGTTTCTAGGGAGGTATAGGAAGATAACGGCCCTACCACAGTACACAGTACCTCGTGTAATCAGCCAAGAAACCAAGCTATTCTAATCGTTGACCGCTATATCAAAGTTGAAGACAATCGAGGAATATCAGGCCACACTGGACCCTCGGCCGTTAACATTCCTGGTCCCTGAGAGGCTGCAGCCTTGCAGCCAAGTTGCACATCCGGTGGAGTCATTACTTCCGGTATTCCCCCTTGGCGGGATCGCAAAGCTACAGAAGTACCTTGCCGCCTACTCCGCAGTGTGCGCTGGCATATGCACCTCCCAGATGCTCCCATATGCAGGTACGTTATACCCGCGTAATGCGTAATGTAAAGCATGCAACATAAACATGTCAATACATATCGTATGTACCTGGACCCAGACCTACTCAGACGCACCAATCGGCCCGTTCAGACAGGATAGGACTGTCCTTCCTAAGTAGGGATCTTTCTAGAAACCCCGAAGGAAAGGTCCAGAACTCGGTCATTATGCAGTGTTTTGATGGCTAGCTGCAGGGCCAAGGGAAAACCGATTTGATCTTATCTGATTGAAACTGTGGAGAGACCTAAGGGCCGAGGGAGCTTGGACCCTAAGTGGGCGTCATACATATATATATTGTATATATAAGTATACACGATGGTCACTAGAGTCAGAGTGGTTAATACTGGTTCCTATTGCTACTCAAAGAGCCCAAGTCATATCCCATAATAATATTATAGTAAAAAGAACCTTGGGATCATTAATTTCTAACGTCAACTGTACAGGGTCCTTTCTAAATGCAAATTGCAAACATTTGGTCATGCCACGTGCCCCCGGTAATGCAAACACCGCGCTGATTTTGCATAATAAAACACAGGGTAGAAGGATATCAATGCAGAATCTGGAATCGAAAACAAATGCAAACACGCTTAGATCTTGGATCAGTTTACACCATGCGTTCCGGGTCATCCCCAGCAACGCTACGGTAGCCAGATCCCTCACCGGACCGGTTGCCAGTGTGCATGCGCATTGGGGTTTCGTACATATCGTGATAGTTGATCACCTCACCGCCGAGCATCGCCGCCCCAGTCTGGCGCTTGCCAAAGAGCGGAGCCGGGTCACACCAAAAGTCGCGGCAGTTGGTGACGACACCGCGGGAGAAGGGGTTTCGGGGGCGAGCCGTCTGGGGCCCGTCGCGGAGACCGTCTTTAGCAGTTGTCCAAAAAGCGTCGACTCCGAGGAGAGACGACCACTGCTGAATGCAGCCACGTTTCCGTCGGGGTTCGGGAAGACCGCGGAGGGCTGGATTGGGTCCTTGTCCGGAAGCTGAAAGACTAGCAGCTTCCATCGACGTGGTTCCGGCGGCCATGGCTGATGCAAAGGCTTGGGAGCTTGGGTAGGACCGATCTATGTGGTGGCCTCGCATGTTCTCGTAGGTTGTCTGGTTGCGAGAGATCTGGACGAGCTGAACGGCGCACAGCATCGTGACCCAGACCAGCTGGAGGGTGATCCACACATTAAGAACCAGAGTGAAGGGGTCACGAGAGGCATAGTCACACAAGGCATCGTTGATGACATTGCAAGTAGCATTGGTAGGAGCGGGCAGAGAATTAATATCTGCATTATGTTAGTTGACTGATTCAATGCAATCTTTTGCCTCCCCACTAAGTAGTACTCACAGGCAATAGTCAGCTGCACAAACAAAATGATGCCAACCTCAAGGGAGACTATGTAAAGAACAAAATGGCGGAGGTTATTCACTCCAACACAGTTATCAATCCAAGGGCAATGGCTATTCAAAAATTAGTGGTCAGACCATGAGAACTCTCTCAAGATACATACTGATCATGTTTTGCAACGCAGCGCCCACAACGCCGACAGTGCCTGCTTCGCAGTGGCTTTCTTGCCATACAAGGAATGCAGAAATTCTCTTCGTCGAATTTCCACTGCTCGAACAGTTGCTTAACAATCTCTCTCTGCTGGTTTCTGCTGCTCACTTTCGGAACATAACCGGGGTCCTGGACCATGGCGAGAATGTAGAAATAAGCAGTCAAGCAGAAGAAGACCGCGAACAAGATGTTCAGAATCGGAGACGATAAATAGGTTGCTGGCAGCACCTTGAAAGCATAGCGGAAGCCAACCCAGAACAACGTGCCTGCAAAGACACCAGCTAGATAGGGTGTTTTGTGCAGAACTCGATATTCCATAGGCCCCTTGTTCGCAAATTGTTGTGCAACGTACTGCATCCCGAAGACTGTCACCAACACGAGGGGCACAGCAACGAAAATCGCCAGGTTACTGAGCATCCAGATGGCCACCAGGAGAATTAAGAAAGGCCAGAGGAAGAAGAACTTGGACATGATGCTCTTGTTGCGGACGAAGTTGGAAAGGCCCAGGGGCACCACTTTTTGGGTGCCATCCGGTCCGAAGCCGCATTCGCTGAGCGAGCGGTACCAAACTCGTAGGGTGTTCATTTCCTGAGCCACAGTTGCAGGTGATTTTCCATCGCGGGTCTTTGCGAAGCGGTCAGTGCCGTATTCAAGCAATTTCAAGACACAAGGCATCGAGCCCTTAACCAGTGCCCAATGAAGTGGCGTCAAGCCACCTTCGTCCACGGCGTTTGCATTGGCACCCCATCGCAGGAACAAGTCCACACAGGCCGGATATCCTTTGTATGCAGCCCACATCAGTCCGGTATGCCCTTGTTGGTCGACAACGTCCACGGGGATCTCCTGGTGTAGAAGCAGCACGACTAGAAATGCATTGCCATCAATGGTCGCAAGGTGTAAGATGTTGTATCCTTGGACGTCCGTCAGGAGAGGATCCCCTCCATTCTGGAGCAATAGGTTCACAATATAATAATGACACCGTTGTGCAGCCCACATGGCTGGTGTTGCCACCGATTCTCCTCCTTTGGCGTTGACATCGGCTCCAGAGTCGATCAGGAATTTACACATCGCATATTGATTGTTTATTGCTGCCCACTAGAAAGAGAAAATGCGGTCAGTAAACAGATTCCTGCTGTATGTTGCGCTGGGTTGAAACGAACATGCAGTGGTGTAATCCCCTCCTCATCGCGGTGGTTTGCGGTGAACTTTTTGGCCGTGAACAATTTCTGCATAGTGCCAATCTCCCCCATCCGAGCCAACTGCATCACATCCTCCCCCAGAGGAATTGAGCCTTTGGGGGGATCAGGGCGCAAGCTCTTCATCTCCACATCGTTTGGAGGAGTGGGTGTCCCGTTGCCATTTGAGGTGGAGGTGGAGCCGGAGGTCTGGCCTGGGCTGGGGCCCCGGGATTCTGGAGAGGTTTTGGTAGACATTTTAGGTTGTCTACCGTTAGATATGTATTGAATATGTATCGAATGCCACTCGGAGGCTGGGGAAGGAGACTCGATTCAAGAACTGGATTGTTTTGGGATGGTAGTCTAAAGGAACATTTCAGTTCCGTTGCCGGCGCATTCACTGAGTTAGAAATTTTCAAGAGATGCTTCGAGAGTGTAAAGGACGGAGGTAAATGGTAAATGGTAAATGGTAAACAGATTGGTGAGGGTTGGAAAGTCGAAAAGGCGGAGATTTGCGGAGACGCTAGAGAGTCACGTCGCAGCGCTGGGAGGTAGACCCTGTTATATTATATATTCTGTACTTGGTACTTGAAGAAATAGACAGTTTAGTATAATTTCTATTTTCTACATTTCTATTCCAACGTGTTTGATCCTTTTTTTGTTGACCTGATTACTCAGCCACAGGCAGCCGCATTTGAGTTCTCGGTCCTTTTGCTCTGAATCTGCCGAGTATTTATATATATGTACGATGTATACTCCGTAGTATTCCCAGGTGAGGTTGTCAGTGGCTATGTTGTATACATATATAAAGCCATGATTGGCTTTCAAACTATACTCTATCTTGATTTAAACTTAACTCATCTTATTCTTTTCTTCAGTGCGATATCAGAGAAATAATATTGAGCTATAAAACAAGTTAGAAACCAAATCAAGCATTACCGGCATGAGGGCAATTGGGACCATGCTCCGATGTGCGATTCATGCGAGTCCACAGGCCAAAAAGAAGTGCAGATCTACCATCATCCGGTCCCTGGGACTTAATCTGCCATCTACGATCTTCGTCCTTGGCCATGTGATCAAAGCCCCGCGCAAACTCGTCCTCTTCACGATGGCCATCCAGAGTGACTCGTCCTACCTGCATAGCCAGCATATTGAGCATCTTCAGAACTGTTAGAGGGAGCTGCCCGTCCTGGACAGTGAACATCTCAGCGACTTCTGCAATAACAAATGAGAGTTTGCAACAATGGTCCGAAAAACAGCTGCAAGTCAGCTTGGGGTCATTCACACTCTCCGTCCAACCAGAGAGTGTGTTGGCTATACGATGAAGCTCGGTCTGGATTGCAGCAACATCCTGACCTGACATATCTCCGGCAGCCAGCTCCTGGATATATGCGACGAAATCATTTCGCGAGTAGGCGAAAGATTCTCGCGCGACCTGCATAGCTGTTGCGTCCATAATGATACGTGATATTTAGCACAGGAGATACTTACTGAATACAGTGTTGAGGCGTGCAAATAGAAATAGTTAGTTAGATAGCTCGAGTCGATGGTGGTATGTATCTAAACCCCCAGGCAATGAACCTTATATACTCGATAATTCAATCTTCAATTTTTGCTGGCTTCTGGCATGTTCTTTGTCCATAGATAAAAAATGGGTGAAAGATATAGAGCCATCGGGTTTGAATAAAGAGCACAATAGAGGTTCTTTCAAGGCAATATCAATCGCTTTATATGTCTAATTATGTAGCCTATAGTTATCTCCTATGTTGTATATGACTCGATCTAAATATATATATGTTTCTGTAGCTTCTCCTGAAAGTTGTTCATGGTATAGATAAATCGTCCAAATCAAAGTGCTATATATATACGGAGTACATAGACATCAAATACAGTAATTATGTCTCTTCCCCAATTATAAACCAGAAATATATTCAGGACCTTGAATGTCGTGATCGACAAAGAACTTATGTTGTAAAGAGAAACTCGGAGCTCCACTCTCGGAGCTTTCTTGTCTGTGTCTCCGCACCACGAACCCCTCAAAAACAACAATGGAAGACACTTTGACCGACAAGCTCATATCAATTTTCAAGGATCGAGATATCCCAGCTAAGTGGGAGGTGATTGAGTCGGTATTTGAGGATGACAGGAATGCTCAATGGGCGTCTAAGCATCTCCGCCCTGACACTCTATTATCAAAAGACGAGCTCGCGTTGTATGTCTCATCTCTATCCCATTTACAAAACAGAACTAACTGGAGATAGATATCTTAAGCTCAAAAACTCCGGTGCTCTTCAACCTATTCTCCGCAACCCAGACCTCAGCGCGACGCGGCCTATCCTCGAAGAGGAACTCCGCCACACGATCGAGTCCCTCGAAGCCTCAACAGCAACAATCCAAAAACAGACTGAGACTCTGAAGCTCCAATTTGCAAGCCTAAACAAGCGATTGGACCTGGAAAACAATGTGAAGCAGCAGCGGAGCCGGGATATCGCTCGGCTGCAAAAGAAACATGAAGCGGGGAGGCAAAATACTACAACGGCGGTAGGAGCATGTCCATCCCAATAAATCGTCGTGTGTTGCTAATTTTGGCTATATATAGGCAATTGAGCTTGCCGATGGATTGGAGACTGATCTAAGAACCGCGACGGAAAAGTCAGGCGCAGAAAGCAAGAGAATCCTCGCTTCTCTGTCTACCCGGTTAAAGCAAGACGACAAGGCTCTCGCGAGTCTAGAAACGCTCATGTGCAGTATTAAGTATCGTGGGAATGATGCATCTACGATCAAACGTACGAACCATCTCAGTGTGATGTTGTCGGACTACGTGGCAGAGGAAATACACTACCGCCTGGATCGACTATATCTGGAAACAATACATGCGGGGGGCTCAAACCATGACGCTATAGATATGGCAACGAGCACTGCTCTCGAGGAAGAATTAGAGTCTCTGTATCCAGAGATCGAAATCTTGGCAGAAATGTCGACCAGACAGCAGTTCCACGAGCCTGTCCTCCGTGAACTCCAGAATGAGCATGATCAGCTTCGAGTGGCATCGCATGAGAAAGTAGAACAGGTATGAGGCTCCGCTTTGACAGTTCAATTGATCAGCAATGAACTGAGTCATAACTTTTACTCTAGGCACTCGACATGTTGATCGAGATGACTTTGTCAAAGCAAGATCTTACAAACCAACTCGGGGTCCGGGAATCGTCTTCTGAACTGTTAGAACAGTTAGCTGTACTATACCAATCCGAAGCAGGCAGCGAACTTATCGCACAGGCGTCATCCCGACGAGAGTCTCTCCGACGGCGATCGTTACAGCCAGGCCTCCTTCTTGTCACCCGCACGCCCGGTGCGCCTGTAATTGCCCAGCCATCACTCGAACGACTTCTGAGGCGTGTTGGTGTACCACCAGGATCGATCCTTCACCCGCGCGAGAATAGAGGAGTTGACGACCTCCATGAGAAACGATATCACATTTCCGAAACACTTCATAGCCTCAATATAGCAAGGGACGCTCCTCTCGTGACTCACTTAGCGCCGTTGGATAACGCATATCAGCTTCTTCGTTGCTCATTGCACGCCAACTCTCACCGTGAAACATCATTGCGTGATTCTTTAGAGGAGTCAACACTCTTGGGCCTCGAGAAAGAACTCGCAAGTCTTCAAAATGGGGTCCAGAAGCTCAATTTGGATGTTCTCCACCAGCGTGATAGTAATCAGGATAGATTAATTGAGCAGTGGACATAGGAATCGTGGCGAAGCTTTGCTATCCGAGCCTTTTTTTCCCCTTCAGGATTCTGTTGTTTTTATGGATCTACGCGTTCATGCATGATAATTCGTCTGATCTTGTAGTCAAAGATGCCAATGGTTGGTTCTTAATCGCCGTTGGTTCGTTTTAGCGCCAAAGTGGCTCGAACTCTGATTTGACGCCCAGTGGTGTGTGGCTGAAGGGATCCTTTGAGATGATTTAACACCGCTGAATAACAATATTGCGCAGTCAATATTTTAGGCAGTGATGTCAGCTATATAGGGTATTGGATATTCTTCTCCGAAAAGTTGTGTTGGTTATGTTATGGACAATAACAGGTGCAATGTTGTGTATCTTGACGCTACACGTGCTCTTCAACTCGGCGCCTCACTTGGAAGTCCCCTGCTAGTCACACTATATCACTTCTTCATATCACCTCTTTTTAGAGATGAACCTCCAACTTCGCATTTCTGGTGTGATGGAAGAAGTTGAACCCTGTTATTTTCTCGGATTTCTAGATTATATCAGGCAACTGGTCTTCAATTACGCTGACTTGTTGAATTGCGCCCTAGTGACCTCAAGTCTGTATCAACCATTGGAGAGAGAGAGAATATTGAATATTAACATTTAATAACTTCATTATAGATCTCCTCTTAGAGAGGGGACGTTGCCTTCGAATCCCTGTTGTCGAATATAAAATCAAGTCGATATCTCGCCACAAAGCTCTTTGTTTGCAATCCATACCAAACCATCTAGCTTTGTCAAATCTTCTCCTTTGTTCCGAGCCAAATATATCACTACTTCTCTATAAGGAACCATTGTCATGTCGTCTTGCACGAACTGTGTATGGCAATTCGCCCGCACCGCTATTACCGACGAAGTTCGTGGAGTTCCATCCTTTATTTTTTATATATTCCTTCAACAACACCTTTTTTCGAGGGCTTCTTTGTTTCCAGACGCATTGTTCAAGGATCATTTATTATCACTCTATTGCCCTCAGGTTATCCTCGGATTCCACTGAGTATCGAGAACAGGAAACTAACTTAAGATAGAGCACACAGAGTCGCATTTATCTACAGTCGACAAATATGAAGTCCCGACCTTCCTCTTTTTACAGGTCAGAACCTATTTCTTGGGCTCAGGCCCAGGGACACAGCTACCCTAGTTCCCGGTATGCACCGCCAACCTATGAACCGCTTCCCAGGCTCTTTGTGGTCAATCCCCCGGACTATGAAATGGCCTCTGGTTTTGCTAGAAGAAGATATGATTCAAACTTGCGGGAATCGATCAACTTAGAAACACGGACGCCTCGTTACCGAGCACCCAAAAAAGTTCGGTTCGATGACTCGCATTACGAGTACGAGATTACATACTCTTCAGATGCTTCCTCGAAAGGCCCTCGGTCCCAGAATACTCGAGTCCCAAACCTCGATGTGTATTACGAAACAAGAGTACCGGATGTCATTCGATGTGGATTGCATACAATGTCGAAATCAGCACGGTATGCCCACAGACGATCTAGGTACTAGAGCCGAGCATTTTGGTCGCTCCGGCTGTTTCTAGCTTTACTGGCAATCTACAATACGAATCATACTGTTGAGAGCCTGCTAGAATTGGTATATAAGACTTGTGCGGGGATCGGGGGTTTTTGATGTTTTTTTTTTGTATCACGGAGTTGGGTTGGATATATGATTAGGGGGTTTGGGTGGTTTTTGTTTTTGAAAGGGATCGGCTTTGAGCCCATTTCGATGTCGTCGTACAGGAACTGTGTACGGCAATTCGCCCGGGCTTAAAATAGGTGATTCCGTTCAATATGTGCGGTGGCGTCTGTCTTGTGCCAGGAACTACTCCGTAGAGCAACTGAATCTGTAGGCCTGACCCCTAGAAGCAGATTCTGATCTGTAAACCGGGGAAGAACTGAACCTCATATTTGTCAACTGGATATATGTGTCACGCAGTGTGCTCTATTTTGGGGTGGTTTTTATTTTGGAAATAAATGTTGTGATGTGTACTCCGTACTCCGTACGTATAAAATAATAACAGATCAAAGATTAAGGTCACATGTGCCAACTTTCTTATCTCCCCCTTCTTTTTCTCCTTGTCTCTATTTGGGATTTCAATTCAGTCTACGGAGTAATTCGATATTGATCTCTTGGGTTCATAGTGAGTTTAATTTATCGGAAATTAATGATCAGCATCTCATTACATATAGAACTCCAAACAACTTACCACTCTCACCCCACTATACAACTCTATAAAGAGGCAACCCCGGTCATATCGCCTCAACTCTCTCCCTTTCTCTCCTCCATCGAACCCAAGATCCGCCGCAAAGAGAGCTTAAGTCCCAACAGAGGCCAGAAACCACTCATTGGAAAATGAGATACCCAGCCGGGGAGCCACCATCCACCTCAAGGTCCAGGTGCGCTCTACTCGCAACCCCCTACCAAGCCCGCGCCTGCGCGTGGCAGTGAAAACAACCCACGCGCACCATGGCCACTGCTGTGACACAAACTACAACCATGTCCGTCTCCCAAGACGCGCTTTCCAACCCAAACGCAAACTCCGCGCCAACCATGCTGAAACTCGGCTCGCCGCTGGTCAATATTGACTCTCACCAGTCCGACGACGATCCTGATTCGTCGCAGACCCCCGCCGCCGTGTTTGATATTTCGCCCGAGGCTGCATTACACTTGCTTTGTTTGAATATTGAGCGGCTAGGCGCTTACTTTGCTCAGAAACCCGTCGGCACTGATGAGCTGCACGCGCACGGCTCCACGTCTCGGGCTTATAATACCCCTGGTGAGGATGAGCTCAAGGTGAAAACTGTCGGGTTACATGTTAAGGACTCGGGTGATCATGCTGACCCTGTGAGGGCGACGGAAGATGCGATTCAAATGGCGATCTTGGCGAAGAAGTTTCTATCAAAGAAGGTGCCGCCGGTTCCCTTGAACGAGTATCTGCTTCGTTTGCATAGGTACTGTCCTATGTCTACGGCGGTCTATCTCGCAGCTAGCGTATATATATCCAAGATGACGCTGGTCGAGAATGTGTTGATGGTTTTGCCGAAGAATATGCACAGGCTTGTACTTGCTGGTGTTTGGGTTGCCTCAAAGGCTCTGGAGGACTTGAGCTATCCGCATAGCCGGGTTGCAAAGGTCGGTGGAGTCACTGAGCAAGAACTGTCGAAACTCGAAATCAGCTTTTGTTTTCTGGCCGACTTTGAGCTGCGTGTTGACGCGCATATGTTGATGAACGAAGCTTTGCGCTCTCAGACTACCCTAGAATAACACCCAGTCGGATCACATTATGTTTTGTCTCATATGAGGTCATATTACATTATGTGGCCTTATCTGACTAGTTAGGTGCTGTCTGATATTCAGACAGCTATTTACTTATTTACTCTAACCATCTATGGAGCTTTAGTCCACCCTCAAACTCGTCAAAACACCAACCATGAGTGATATACAGTATAAAATTTATTCGCGAACCAAACACGCTTAAAAATTACCCGATGTTCAAGACTGCTGCATCAAGACTGGTTCGTCGAGGCAACGTGCACCGGGGGATAGTACCAAGTGCAAACAGCGATGATGAAGTAAACCAACACACAAAGAGCACCTTCAAGGTAATTGGACTTGCCATCACGCAAGAAATTTCCAACGACCAGAATTGACAGCACAAGGAGAACAACCATGAAGATCTCAAAGTTCAGGCTCATTTCCTTGCCCATACCCCAACCAACAATGACAGTGAGCGGTGCGTTCAGCAACGCTGTTTGGATCGAAGGGGCCAGGCAGTGGAAGAGTGCAAAGTTGATCTGGTTGTCCCAAGCTTCATCGATGGCCGTGAGGTGCTCGGCGGCCTTTTCCACTAAAGGGACGAGAATCAAACCGAGGAAATTATCCGAGACGCCGCGCTCCACGATGTGCTCGATTTCTTGGACTAGAAAGACGGCGGACATGCAGACACAGGTCAGGGCAAAAGCGATGACCACAAAGCATTCTATCATTGTGAGCTTTGCCCTCGCAATTTCTTCGTGTCGATCTTCGTCGTGAAATTCATCTTTCTCTAGGATATCATCGAAAATGGAGTTGTGGCTGTGTAGGTTGAAGAAAAGATATCTAACACAGAGTGTTAGTATTTAGATTATAGGCAAGAGCCTTGACCACTCACGTCAAAAATGCAACGAGAAGGATCACCGCAGTGGCCCTGCTAATTGTCAAGGCATATTCATTCAACTCCACCAGAGTAAAATGTGAATTGATACTTCCACGCAGCGCGGAGTAGAACGCGCTGGGAATCAACAGGCCGAACCCTGCGACAAGGAGCAAGCCAGTACCAACTTCACTGATGGCTTCGTGGAAGCTCTGCTCATGACGCTTGATACCGCCGACAAAGAAACACATTCCCAAGCATAGCAGGAGATTTGCCATGATGGAACCGAGAATAGCGGCCTGGATGACAGGAATCAGATCCGAGTGTTCGGTCTGGCCATGGTTATACAACAAAACCATGAACAGCACGAGTTCCACCACAGAGCCTAGAGTAGTTTCAACCACGATGCCTATCATCTTTGGTAACTTTTTGGCTAGCTCTCCACCCGCAAACCCGAGTAGGTTCGCTGAGGGCACCATGGCGATGTAATTTAGACTAAAGACCCAGACGTGAAGATCGGGTCGCGCAAAGTGGATGGCAATTGCGGCGGGGACAAACGGCCAGAGGATATTCACGACCATCGAAAGCGTACAGACACTCCTAAAGCATACCTTGAGGAGATGCCATGGGTGAATACCGGTTCTGCCACTCTCCCCGGCTGTGTCCACGCGGAATAAGGCCCATCGTCGCTTGGAAGTGGTGGAGTTGGTGGGCAATATCGAGTGCTGTGAGCGCTTCTCCTGGACTGTTTTCGGTTGGTCGCTGCTCCCACGGAGACGGAGGTCGGCGTTCTCGGCATTCTGTGAATGTGTTGACCTGATTGAGCCCATTTCTAACCGATACCTACTCCTTGTAGATCGGAGAGATCGGAGGACCAGGTAAAGTACACGCAAGGTGCCAGACCGTGACGTGACAAAATCGAAGGGATGATTCTCGATATATACTAGGGGGGGGAACGCGCAATATACAAGGGCCAGGGTATGAAAGCACTGAAGAAAGAAAGAAAGAAAAAGGCGCAAAAGGAGGGGTCTACTAAGAATATACGGAGTAACTAGAAGCTGTTCTACAATAATATAAAGGAGGCAATTAAAAACATGCGCTGGCACTTAATAGAACCAATCAGCTCGTATTCAATATGGATCAGGGATCAGGTAGCCAGGTCTTGGCGCATCTAGGTCTTTTCATGATGCTTTTTTTGCCGTGAAGATCGTTTGTATCCCGTACTCGTCGCGTCATGATTTGGCTCTCGAGAAAGAAAGAAAAACGAGCTTAGCTTGAGTTCGAGTGTAGACTTGCACTCTTTCTTGCCCAGGCTATTGGCATTCAGGGTTCTCTCAGGGATGAAACGCCAACTTGTGTGTGGGGAATACTATCTTTTCCTGCACAGCCACAGCCTTGGCTTTGCAGACAAGTCGTATTTAAGCGCATTATACGGAGTAGTAGTAGTATGTACTATGTTGTACTTTGTATGCGCTGTTTGCATGTGGAATTGCAATAATAGGTACGGAGTACTCCGTACAAATGTAGAGAATTGGTCTCTATTGTTGGCAGGTGAGTAGTAGGTTGTTGGAAGGAGACCGTTGACGAAGAGTAGTATACTCCCAACTTTTAGAAGGCCTCTAGACTACATACTTGGTAGACATAATTCTTTATATAACATAGTTCTTCCTAGACTTTTCACCACAACATATGTAGCACTATATATATATATATATATATATATACCACTACGTAACTACAAAGTCTATCGTTGACATCATATAACTATGAGCCATCTAGGTATATTCCAATTAATCTCTATCATAACACATATACTATATCAGTTTTATCATATAGACCTATATATAAAGCGTAGAACAGAATCAAAAATAAAAAGTCCAACCTTCAGCTAACATATAGATCTGGGCCCACCAGGAAAAGCCGGTTATCATCGGGCGGGGCACTAAAGTCGGATGGCGAAATCTTCGATCTGCGAACTTCTTCTTTTACTTACATTGTCTCTCTAACAACTCACACATCATGGCTTCTACCACAACCCCCGGCAACCCGCCGGTCACTTTAGATAGTATCACCCAGCAGATCGGTAACACACCCCTTGTGCGACTGAACTGTCTGCCCCGTACCCTGGGAATCGATGCTACCGTTTATGCCAAGTTGGAGTATTTCAATGCCGGTGGCAGTGTCAAGGATCGCATTGCTCTGCGCATGATTGAAGAGGCTGAGCGATCTGGTCGCATCAAGCCTGGTGATACTCTCATCGAGCCCACCAGTGGCAATACGTAAGTCTTTTTTTTTTTAAAAAAAACAACTTCTCTTTCACTTCAAACTGAGCTAATTGAGATTCATTAGTGGTATTGGTCTGGCACTAGTTGGTGCCGTCAAAGGTATTTTTCTGTTGTCTAAGCTCTACTTGTCTGATCCGTCCTAATTTTACCTATTCTTCTCTACCCAGGTTATAAGACCATCATTACTCTCCCAGAGAAGATGTCTGCCGAGAAAGTCGCCGTTCTGCGTGCCTTGAATGCAACTATCATCCGAACCCCCAACGAAGCTGCCTTCGACTCACCCGAATCGCATATCGGCGTGGCCAGACGTCTCGAGAAGGAGTTGCCCAACGCCCACATTTTGGACCAGTACGAGAACCCGAACAACCCACTGGCACACGAGCTCGGCACTGCCGAGGAGATCTGGACCCAGACCAATGGCAAGATCAGTGCCATTGTGGCTGGTGCCGGAACCGGTGGTACGATCACCGGCCTTGCCCGTGGCCTGCGGAAGCACAACCCCGATATCAATGTGATCGCCGCCGATCCCTTTGGTTCTATTCTCGCTCTGCCACCATCCCTCAACGAAGCTCGTGCCAACGAGCCTTACAAGGTTGAGGGCATTGGATATGATTTCATCCCCGAGGTTTTGGACCAAAATGCCGTTACCCAATGGATCAAGACTGAAGATAAGGAGTCTTTCAAGTACTCCCGTCGTCTGATCGCCGAGGAGGGTCTGCTAGTCGGTGGTAGCAGTGGCAGTGCTATTGCGGCTCTGGTCAAGGCTAACGAGGCCAATAAGTTCTCCAAAGATGATGTCGTTGTTGTGATTCTTCCTGACAGCATCAGGAGTTACCTCTCCAAGGTAGTATCAAATCTTTCTATGATTCATTTTGTATTCAAGCTAACCGATTGAAGTTTGCCGATGACGACTGGCTCGCAGCCAATGATCTGCTCCCGTCGCTTCCCGCCGTTGCATCGACAACTCAAACCCAGGAGCCTGAGTCTAACCCTCTGGCCAACGCTAAGGTCAGCGCGCTGCGCTTGAAGCCCATCACCACCGTGACAGCCAACTCCCCTTGTGAGACTGCTATCGAGGTCATGCGCGACCGAGGCTTCGATCAGCTTCCCGTCCTTGCCCCATCTGGGCGCAAGCTTGTTGGTCTCGTTACTTTAGGCAACGTTCTCAGCCGACTGACGCACGGCCGGGCCACGGGCCAGAGCCCCGTCTCCGAGGTCATGTTTGACTTCTCAAAGATCTCTGAGGTGGTCACCGACCCCCGTGATCTCTCCAAGGGCATGGACTCCCTCAAGCCTCAGACCCGGAGTCGCAGCTTCATCGAGATTACCATGGATACCCCTCTCAGCGTCCTAAACCGCTTCTTCGAGTGGAACAGTGCTGCGGTTGTGACCGAGAAGGACGCAAGTGGTGCGATGAAGCCATTGGCCATCGCTACCAAGGTTGACCTGCTCACATGGATGCTGCACCAGTCCAAGACGAAGGCCTGAAAAAAAAAAGAATTTTTCATTGTTTCTTTCTCTGAAATGCATTCGCACAAGAAATTGCTTGTTGGATAGGGGTTCAACATTCCTGAACATTCTCTGATATTGTGGGATAGGCGTTTCTCGTGTGTTGGCATGAAGACTTCCCCAATGGGATTCAACACATTGTGGGATTGAAATACCTGAATCGTGCAGCTCAATGGCGTTGAATGTGATACATAATTAATGCATACCATAGAAAATATATACATGGTACTTTTTTTTTCCAAATTTATCTCGTTTAGGTGGCGATGACGTCGATTCAGATATATCCATGTGCCAACTTCATCTGTGGGAGTCCTCTCCACTTTACCCATTTCAACCCAAGATGACAGGAATCTTTACTTATCGGAGTTTCTCCATGGGAAATACATCGGCGTTAAATGGACGGGTGGCTGTGATGACAGTGAGTTCTCTCTCATTATGTCTCGGCCCATCAACTAATTAATTCCCCAGGGTGGCCAAGGAGGCATTGGCAAAGGTAAGCAGAGTCCCTGATATCAAGCTAATTGAATATCCTATGGAGTATAATAATGAATATAGAGATCACCGCCCAGCTTCTCGTGCATGGAATAGAGAAAGTAATCATCATTGCCAGAAGTGAAGACAAATACATCACTGCTCGCGAGGAATGGAAACACCGCGCAGGCATTTCACTCGAGAATGACACTCGAACTGAGTTTGTCAAATGCGATCTGGGGGACATTCAGGATGTCAAATCCGCAGTTGAGAAAATAAAACAAGTCACAGACCGGATTCATATACTGGTTTGCAATGCAGGTCGGCTCTATCTCTCCATTTCAACTGATCATTAAACCACCCCCTGAACAAAGCCATCAGTGTTCAAAATGAATACAAGCATTCACCCCAAAATATCGAACGTGTATTCGCGACAAACTGCGTCGGACACCAAGTCCTAGCCACAGCACTCCTGCCTCTGTTGAAGAACGGCGTGATGCACGGTAATGACGTGCGAATTGTCGTGACTAGCTCATCGTTCCACTTTTGGTGCCAGCAGCTCGATATGGATCTTCTATTCTCATCGTCACGCGTCAAGTGGCCTGCCTTGTACGATGGGATATGGCGGTATGGACGGTCAAAGCTGGGTAACATCCTATTTGCCAAAGAGCTCAGTCGGCGGCTCCTGGATGATCAAGACCCAGCGAGCAAACAGATCTATGTCAATTCGTTCTTCCCGGGAAACATTGTTACTGAACAATGGCTTGCGTGGAATTTTTCTTTTGGAAGTTTCCTAGGTTGGCTTATAAGAACGATAGGGTCGCGTTTGGGCCAGAGTGTGAGGGATGGAGCTGCTACAGCTTTATACCTTGCTGCTAGTTCTGAGGTGCGAGAGCGGAAACATCGTGGCCAGTATTTTATACCGATCGCTACTCTATGTAAGCCCAGCGCGATATCTGAAGATATGAAGCTCGCTCGAGATCTGTGGGTGGGTACTACGTTTCCTTGAATGCTTGTCATGTTTCGACCATTGCTGATCATACAGGATTGGATCGATGTCCAAGCTACAGAGTCACTGGGATTAGATTGGCAATATCGATAGAAAGACTGTATTGTAGTCTCTCAAAATCCTTCTCGGAGATTTTTTTTTTCTGGCATAAAATATACAAGCAAACCATGACAAGACTACCTATTTACTATTTTGAACCATCAAGACCAGAGAGTAAAAGGTTGTATCGCTCACAAGCACATACCAACCCACTCCTCCCAGCGGCGCACTCCAGATCCAAACTCTTCCTGAGAGTCACCCTTGACAGCACCACCAACCACATCAACCTTGACACAGACCTCGTGCTCCAGAAGTTTGAAGCTGAAAGCCTCTTGTACATCATTACCTAAGATCTCCTCTTCTTCGTCCTCCAACCCAGTATCCGCACTTGCATCCAGAAGACCCCTGGTCTTCGACTTGCGGATGCGATCAATTTCCGCTTCCAGTTTCTCTCTCACCGCGCCTGGCGGCAGTGCAGTGAATAGATCCTGCTTGTTTGCGGCGACTAAGACGGGGATATCAGTGGTCCGCTTGCTCGATGACCCGTTCTTTGCGCGCTTCTGAAGAAAGAGAAGAACGTCGTGCAGATAGGTCGCGGTATCACGGAGTGTCGCTTCGTCAACTAGAGCAGCAGTGTCGACCATGAACACTACGCCGCGAATTTTTGTCTTGATATCCCTTGACTGGGACATGGTCTGGAGCTCGGAGATCCCTTGCAAGACGCGGAGCTTGCCATGGCCAGGGGTATCCCTTACACGGTACTTGATTGGATTCCTGACAGCCTCTTTCAAGGATGGATCATTCACTGATCGGTAGCGGTTGGATCCGGTTGGGACATTCGGTGGTAAGGTCACGGTCACTAGGGTTGATTGTTGGGAGGTGTGGGTGCTGTGCGACTTGTTCGAATCGAGTGAGGACTTGGCCTCGAGCTATAAACTGGTTAATGAGGGCTAGAGCACTCTGATGTTGTGGAACCTACCAAGGTCGTAAATGCAGTTTTACCAGCTCCGCTGGGGCCTAGGAGTAGGAAATTACTCGAGGGCGGAGATGCTACGGCCTGGAAGAAGAAGACGTGCAGTGCGATCGGGATACCAAAGGTGAAGATGATGGCGATAGCAATGGCAACAAGGTTGCCATCGAATAACAGTGTGGCAATGCCAGCCACTGAGTTCCAGTTTGCTTGAGATGACATGGTTGTAAGTCGAAGAAGTGGTGGGCTGACTCGTGACAGGAGAACCGACCTCGGGATAGAAATTCCGATAGCACGGACCACTTATCTTATCTTAGTGCACATCACACGTTCTATAGAAAACACTCAAGGGCTCAAGGGCTTAGGAATGATGCACATACCAGGGAGTCTTATGAAGGGATGACTTCCCTATCTCTTGACTGGAAGATCACTTCTTTCAAAAAACACTTTTCTCGATTATACCAGCATGAGAGTCCAATTGCTTCAGGCTGCCCTGTTATTCACGGCCGTCCATGGCCAGATCAGTTCTCAGATTACAACGCATGATCTGAGCTTTGATGGTGCAGCTGCCGTCAGTCTAATTTGGGGCTTAAACAGGGAAGCGGCTTCAACTTATAATTTTTATCTCTGTGCCGGTGACGAGACAACAGATTCATATGTATGTTTCTCTCATTGCTGCAACGGAAACATAGAGCTAACCACATACTCAGGACACTCTATCGCAAGTCATCAACAATGGTGCCTATGCTCCTGGTGACAGGGTGTCATTTCAAGTCGACCAAAGTGTTGGTGGAAATGAGCCCAATGCATAGTAAGATAATTTCCCCCCTTCACCAGCGGCTTCATTAATTCCCTTGACTAACCAAGGTCCCCGGGTTTCAATCAGTTTTCTCAAGATAGTTCGGTCAGACCCTCATAGTTACTGGTCCGGGTTCACTTCTCATTTTACTTTGACCAACATGAAAGGTACCTTCTCGACCAAAGTAACAGATGCGATCAAGACAATGCAGCCGATTCCCGCCATCGCTATTCCATGGCCTAAGGTCAAAGACGATGGCCATATCGCCAAGGCCGCAGAATTCACTTCAATTTTCAACACCTCAAGTCTCACCACGAGTTCCTCAATCGAAACGGCCTTGCAGTTCCCAACCCCAACCGTCAAAAGCGAAGCCGAGCACAACGAGTTGCGCAAAAGACAGGTGACTGCTGTCGATGCTGCAATTGACCAGCATACTATCCCATACGGTGAGCAGACCGGCTCGGTCAAATATGCCCCAATGCCCAAGAGCGCTGGGACCACTGTCGCAACCAGATCACCCACTCCTCAATATCCGCCTTTCCCGTTCTCCATTGCGACCACCTACCTTGGTGCGCCGACTGTTCAGTACACTGATACGGCTTTTGCGACATGGACAGCGAACAGCATTGAGAACACAGTTAGTTTGACGCTTGAATGTTTGATTTCAGCTGGTACTGAAAGCTAATCCTTTTGTTTTTCTTCAGGCCGCGCCCGCTCCTGCGCCCACATTAGACAAGAGAATACAGAGGTGGTTGGACCGTTGGAATGATTGATTGGCCTTCGAGAACTTTGTGATTCTTATTTTCTCGGATATCTTTACACCGCGCTTGGTTTGGCGTGGAAACATCCAATTTCCAAGTGATTTCATTCACGTCTTGGGAGGTCATTCTTTGAAATTTTCTGTTTTAATTGTTGGCCTATATATCCCGAGCAACATTTATATTGAGACAATCAAGGTTTGAGTGGGAATATCGGTCATCCAATGCAGTTGAATGCAATAAGAATTTCGCTTCTGTTCGTAATGTGCGTATAATGGATGATCCAATATTATATCTCAGGGCGACTTCCATTCCTCCAAGGCTGGTGTTAATGATGGTGTCACCGTATGATTATGGTCTTCGTGAAATGAGATGTTCTCTCGCATCGCCACATAGTAGCTATCGGCATAGCCGAGTAGCGTCTCAATCTGTGTGCTACGGTGGCCCTTGATGTGTGTGATTTCAATACTTCCATAGTTCACCAGAGCTCGACCGACCTCCTTAGGTTCTTCTCTGTGGTGAATAAAGTCGCCATTCAAGGCATCTGGAGATGGCCGGTCAACAACTACTAACCGTACAGATTCCTGCTGTCCAAAATGGCCTTCAACCCCGACCACTCCAGCCGGGAGAAGATTGGCATTATTCAAAAGTGCGTGGTAAGCTCCGTGGTCAATGTACAATGTACCATGTGGGTACATCCCATGTAGCAGCCAGAATGTCCGTGATTGGATCGGGGTATCTGAACGGATGAATCGGGTATGGAGAGGGGCAGTGGGTGCCTCATTTTGGTCGTCAGCTGTTACGCCATTGGGCCGAGCCTCGAGGTACTGTAGGTATTTCACAATATCGTGGACGTTGCCTGGTTTTGAGCTCTTAGTGATCACTGTCGTGACACCAGCACTGGTTCCAAGCTTTGCAGCCACAATCTTCGTGCTCATACCTCCGGTGCCAAGGGAGGAGCCTGCCGATGAGACGTCAGCCTCGAGAGAGGAGATATCGGTCACAACCTCAATGGGTTTTGCTTCTGGGTTGGTTCTAGGGTTTGCGGAATAAAGACAATCGACGTCGGTCATCAAAAATAGATAGTCGGCCTTGACCATAGCTGCGGTAATCGCAGAAAGGGTATCGTTGTCGCCAAATTTAATTTCCTAGCGATCATTGGGTCAGATGCGTGAATTTTACTTTGAAGGAAAATCTGCTTACAGAAACGGCCAGTGTATCATTTTCGTTGACAATAGGAATCACTCCCATATCAAACAATTGTCCAAATGTATTTTGCGCGTTGACATATTGGGTTCTCTGTACCAAGTGTCAGCGAAGGAACCGGCTTGGGCAAACATAAGAGTACATACATCAGCAATATCATTTCTTGTCAAAAGAATCTGGGCCACGGGAACATGAAGATGTGAGAACAGATTATCCCAAAGACTCATCAGTCGACATTGGCCAACTGCAGCGAGAGCCTATAGACTTCATTAGCTACTTTTCCATTGAACATAATATGTGGGCTTCGATTTCTGTATAATTAAATACATACTTGTATGCGAGGCAGATATGCTGGTCTTTCGTCCACATTCATCCTTCGCAGACCAACGCCCACGGCACCAGATGATACAAGGACGACCCGGTGGCCATCTCTGTGTAACTTGGTCACCGTCTCCACAATCAATGTCAAGATCGAAAGAATTGGCTCGTGGGTTTTCTCGTCAACAATCGAACTCGTTCCTATTACATCGAGTAGTCAGTATTCGAGTCATCGGCCAACAGATATAGATCCCGCACCTAATTTGATCACAATTGTGAGACCAGATGAAGTCGCCATGACGCAGATTCCAGTCCAAAGAAACCTCCTAGCAACAACAATAATAATAATAATAAAAAGGAAAGGAAAAGAATATGGGGAGGCCTGTTCTGTTCACTGCCCCGCGGCGATGAATCACGGAAGAGCACTTTTTGCCCGATTCCGGCGCTGATTCTGCCAGGCGCCACCGCCATTTGCGGAGATTCTCCCGCGCAGTGATAGATGACTCTCGATAGTCCACGATTGAAAATGGCAGACCCTGAGTCGCTAGATGCGGCTGCATCTTCAAATTCAAAGCCTGGTACCACGGGCTTCCTCCCCGGTGATGACACCTGGACCCAATTCCGGAACATCTATTCGATCCTCACGGGCAAGATGTCCAACGAAGGAATCGAGAAGTTCCGCGTTGCGCGAGACACTCGCAATGAAGAAGCAGACTGCAAGCGCTGTGAGGATCAGCGGGATTATCTTCTTCAATATAGTGGGTCACTCGTCTCAAGAGTCTGAGCTGGATAACTCATAAGGTTAATTGATGAAGGTCCTACGATTCGATTCCTCAGTGAAAGCATTCAACAATTAGGAGGTGATCTTCACAGTCATAATATCTACTGTCGCCGCTGTACAGATAGAAAGGGTGGTGGCTTCGATCCGGAATATGGAATTTTGATATGCGCAAATGAGATGAAGGACCAGGGACACCTCGAAGATACCATGGCCCATGAGATGGTTCATGCCTTTGACCATCTCAGGTTCAAGGTAAATTGGTCTGATAACCTGCGTCATGCGGCATGTACCGAGGTATGTTTTATCTTTGTCGTCTTAACATGTCGATGTTTGCTAAACCCATTAGATTCGGGCTAGTTCGCTCAGCGGCGAGTGCAGATGGGCGCGCGAATTCTTTCGAAGAGGACAGTGGAAGCTTACACAACAGCACCAAGAGTGCGTCCGTCGGAGAGCTATCCTCTCTGTACGAGCGCGGCCAACTTGCAAAGACGAAGCCCATGCTACAAGGGTTGTCAACGAAGTCTGGGATAGCTGTTTCAGAGACACACGCCCATTTGATGAGATCTACCGATAATACCACAACTCGTGCAGCGTTGTACTGTTCTCCACCGTGTTGTATGATAGATATTGTTTGGATGTATTATATTTTGCAGGTTTCACTAGCGACGTTTCCCCCCTATTCATTGGATTTTCAACGAGTTAAAATAGGCATGGCTATGTATTGTGTAATTGAGGGCCCTATAGGCGAGATCCATGGATGAGATTAAAATATAATCTACAATATTGGTTGTCAATGAAGTCCAGGAACACAACCTACATGTACAATAACAGATCTAGTCCCGTACTACTCACGGCTTTGCCTCTTGTTATAATGAAAAATATGCCAGGGGATGGCATCTGTATATTCTTGTTGGTTATTCGAAGGTATCATGTTGTATTGAACACGTCGAAGGTGAAGTAAAATTAAGATCAAAATATCGCCATATCGCGAGTACCTCTCCAGCTGACTCCAAGACAAATCCTTACGCCTTGAAGATGCTTGCAGGCCCAGAACACTAGAACTCCACATAAAAAAAAAAGAAAAGGTAACCAGAACTCCCAGAAACTCTGTCGTGTGCAAGGGTCAAAGTCATGGTTCATGCTTTGCCTTCCTTGGAAGAACCCGAACTCCGCTTCACGGTCCGATCATCTTTCGCACAGTGCTTGATAATCCAAGGATGTCGCTGGATCTCCTCAAGCGGGATTCGTTTCGCGGGATCAAGAACAAGAAGCTAGACAATATGTGAGCAAGTGGGCCTTGTATATTGGTAGGAAAATAGACCTACTCTCTTGATGAGATCCTTCGCCTCTGGGCTCACGAAGGACGGGACTGACATATCCGCCTTTCCAATCCGTCGTTGGGTCATGATAGGAGTATCCTCGAACGGAGCTTCGCCGACCAAAAACTCATAAGTCAAGACACCGAGACTCCACAAATCCACTTTCTCGCTGTAGAAATTATCCTTGGAGCCAGGAGTGACCATCTCTGGAGGCAAATAATCGAGAGTTCCGCACATCGTTTGGCGGCGGTTGTTGGGGGCGTGGACACTCCAGCCGAAATCACTAATTTTGATCTCTCCATGAATGCCAACAAGGATGTTCTCAGGCTTGATATCACGGTGCATGATGTGCTTTTTGTGCAGATATTTCAATGCTGCGGCCATCTGGGCAATATATTGTGCGGCCTTCCATTCTGGGAATCGATGCTCCTTGCGAAGATGCTTGTACAACTCGCCACGGCCAGCAAATTCAAGGATCAAGAAGATTCGTTTGCTGTCATGGAAGTGACCGTAGAGTCTCAGCACATTAGGGTGCCGCAGGTTACTCTGAATCTCAATTTCACGCCTAACTTGCTTCTGAACACCACCCTGTTGCAACTCAGACTTGTGCAGCACCTTTAGTGCACAGACGAAGCCGGAAGACCGTTCTTTGGCAAGATAAACCCGGCCAAACTTGCCCTTGCCCAAAGGCTTTCCAATTTCAAACATTCCCAAGTGCAAATCCTTGGGGACAGTTGGCTGCTCGCAGAGGGAAGAAGATGTGCGCTTGTCACCATTTTCATCGGTGCTACGGGTCACCAATGCCCCGTGGGATCCCCTGCCTGGCGAGGCTGGAACGTTCATGGCATTTGCCTTGTTTTCATTGTTATTTTGAAGAGCTAGTTTCAGTAGTTGAGCTCGATTCGAGTTGCTGTTTGACTGGGCTGAAGAGACCGGAGCCTTGGTAAATCGCATCAGCAAGGTGGACCTTCAACTAGATTTCATTGAGTCAAATACCTTTTGCTTGCCATAGATTCGATCACTGTTTCCATTTTCCTTCTCATCTTTCATGGACAGATGTTCGAACCGAGCTTCGAGGGTCTTGGTCGTCGCCATAGTGACAGGTGTACGGGACTAATGGGAGGCGAAAACGAGGGATGGTAAGAAGGGAATCGTATAAAAAGTAGCCAGATCTGATTTTGAGTTTAGTGCAGTACAATCATGATCAGTTTGCACGGGGTGGTTAGTCGACGGGGATCTCATAAAGATGGAGAGAGAAACAGAAGCACGGGTGTTTGGGCGAACCCCAGAGCGTCACCCTAGCAACGCCCGGCTGATGTAATATATATACCATACCACACCGCCAGTCTCTCCGCGCTCGGCGCCTACGTATGTATGCCTCCGTACCAATAATATTTATCCGGAGAATATATTTTATTTGCAGCTCGAGGTAACGATATAATGCAATGCCAGAATTTTTTTGCAAATAAAACCTATTGAATCAAGGGGATCCCATCTTAAGAAAATAGTTGGAAAGGGCAGACCCATTGAATACATACGAGCAAAAACCCTTTGAAGATTCTGCCGAACAAATGTTGTAGGTCGGACCGCCTCTTTCTCCGTCCGCGGGGTTATCACTATCAGCTCCGATCACAATTTACATATGTACTATACATAACCCTGGAGATTCTTGGCTGTTTCTAATCTCTCGCTGCTTCTCTTCAAGCTTTAGCCATGGCAACAAAATGTGCCACGGTCTCCCCAGAGGCAAAAAGACCCAACTCGATCACCATCAACGGGTTTCGAATCTCAACACAGAAGCTGCCCATTCTCAAAGCCGACCCGATTGAGGAAATGACACAGAAGCTCGGCATCGCACCCCCGGAAATGATTTTTGGTGATAATTACGTTGCAATCGAGCACGATAATGGTAATTGGGGCATCAATTTCAATGCGTTTGACGCCTTGGACTTGGTGGACAAAACTGGTCAATCCATGCTCCGGGTCGCGTACTCCGGAGAATGGCAAAAGAGCAGGTATTTTCGCAGCTTCCTAAATTTGCACATACTTGATCGTTGCGACTAATTAATCGGTACTCAGAGAGAAAACTCATGAAGGGATTAAAGAAGTCGTAAAGCCGTTCGACTGGTCATATAGCACCGATTACAAGGGCACCCTCCATCCTAATGCGCGACCGTTCGAGCCAACGACGAAGCTCATTCCGATTGAACTATTGAAGCGCCCAGATCCCATCCTCTTTTTTGACGAGGTTGTTCTTTATGAAGACGAGCTGGCGGACAATGGGATTACCATGCTGTCTTGCAAGATCCGAGTCATGCCAGGAAGACTCCTTTTGTTGACAAGGTTCTTCATGAGGCTTGACCACGTTTTGATCCGACTCCGAGACACTCGAGTTTATGTGGACTTTGCGACAGGTGAAGTTATTCGGGAATATGTCTCAAAGGAATGTGAATATGAGAAAGTTCGACAGGTACGTTTGGTCATTGGACAACGTATATGTATGTTTGACCTGACAATCATCCACAGATGCTAGCAGCAACCAGGGATGATATTCCAGCTTTCTTGAGAGATCCCAACCGGCTGTCTGAGATTCTCCCCCTTGTTGAAAAGCGCTCTGAGCGATTGGTGCTAGGCGATTAAGAGATCTACGCTCCATATTCTGGTTTATCCGCGGGGCGAAGTCAACCATTGGGCTTGCATACAGATATCAGTGTTACTGGGCTGTTCGTCGCTCGGGAATTAATCACCTCCACAAACGAAATATACCACTCGATCATGACGACCATACGCCCGAAAGTTGGGAATGAAATACCCCGGATTCGCCCACATAAGTCTTTTGTTAGACTTGCTTAGTTCGGCTTACTGATCTACTGCCATAATTAATGATCACATTCATGAGGCACACTTAAACGATGCGGATGAACATGAGTGGGATAGAGCTTGGGTTCAATAGCACCAAACCATCAACCGAATACCCAGTAGAAATTCCACGTAGAATCTGCAAAAATTCAATCCGGTTCCATACTGTAGTAGGTTGCAAGGATATGTTCATATATACATACATAAATCTAAGAGGTGCACTATCTGAGGTTTAGATTGCTCAAGGCACTCCCGAATACATATGTACAGTATATGTTGTAGTACGGATTTTGGACTCCGAGCCTGTCGGAGCTCATATATTGGAACAAACAACACAAACATATTTTATCAAAAAAATATCCAGATCACCAATCACGAAAGACCAATTCACGAATTCCACATCCTCAACAATGTCATCCAGAAGAGTATCAACACTATGGACGCGTGGGATTCGTGGGTCCCAGAACCTTTGTCTTTCCAGCTCTGCTAGTCGCACCCTGGTAACATTGCTGTCCGCCTATTGCATGCCTACGGAACAGCCATTGAAATCGATCACCACTCGATCATATTCGCAAACCAAGGTCTCCGACTTGGCCAAGGACTTTTCCCGGAGACCCGGAAATGCCGCCGAGACTTATGTCGCGTATGGGATGACACAAAAACTCTTTGAGGCTTGTTCAAGCCAAGCGGATTACAAGATCCCCCAGGCGTCGCAAAAGGGAGCGGAGGTCCCGAAAACGGAAGCTGGTGAGGATCTTGGTGTTGGAGAGGGTTGGTGGTATAAAGGTGAGGCAATGCGAGCGCTCTTTTGCCTGGACTACGATCTGATTTGAAAACAAGCTAATTCCAGGCGTTTCTGTAGAGCTCGGCCTCTTGCCGACCTTTTCTACCTGGTCCCAGGTGACTTTCCTCCACATGTACCTCTTGACAGTTCGCCTTCGTGCCCTGCCCCATCGAGATAGTGTTACTACCTATTCGCGCCACTTGATCGATCACTTTTCGCATGAAGCGGAACACCGCATGGACGCGTATCATGATCTAGGTAGTCGTACTATTCGCAACAAGTACCTGAAGGATCTGTTCATTCAATGGCGTGGAATCATTGCTGCATATGATGAGGGATTGGCCAAAGGCGATGCAGTGCTGGGTGCCGCTGTCTGGAGAAACCTCTGGAAGGGAAGTCAGGTGGGACCAGATGGGAAAGAAGAAATTGACTGGGCTAAAGTTGCCCAGGTGGTGGCCTACATGCGCCGAGTCTTGTCAGAGCTATCAAAGAAGGACGAGGTGGACATTGTTTTCGCTCTTGGACGTGGTGACCAGAACCACGCTGGTATCTTCGAGTACTCGGGGACGGACAAGAAACTTGTCCAAGCAAACAAATGAGGGGATATCCTCCTATAAGTGAGTATCCGCTCTGCTATTTTATACTATTTGGTTATAAAGATATGTACGATATTTAATTGCCCTACTCTTTTTGCATAAGAATTCTTATTGTTCAAGTCTACCTACTTGAGCAAAACACGGCATGGGGAGAAATACTTAGTTGTCTTTTTTGCCAAAAAGATCCTTTTCCACCATTCCTCGGCAGATAGGGTGATAGAAGTCCTTGTACTTCTCGAATGTTGCGATGGCGACAGGGCGATTGATCTTCTGGAGATTGCGGAACCTAAAAAACAAAAGAAAAGAGGCCAGGTCAGTGTCAAGAAGAGAATCTATGATTAGGAAGGGGACTTCTTACAAAGGTCGCACAAATTTCATCCGTCCAATGCGGCCCAGTAACTCAGTTGTTGGCTCAATGACGCTGTCATCTCCTGCTTTCATGCCAACCTGACAATAGAGGTTCGAAACCTCGATATTCTCGCTCTTCGTAAAGCCGTAGACATCACCCATCAACTTTGAGATCTTGGGGCTGAGAGGTCTTTCTAGCAAGAGCATCTGCTCCAGGAAGACAACCAACTGGTTTGCGGTCAGGCCCTGGAGGTCGCTGATGTGGGGCTTGAAGGAAGAGTCGGGAAGGGACTTCCATTTCTTGGAAAGTTCATAGACAACATCCACCATCGATGTGTCAAAGCTTGGCTTGGGTGGTAGACCTGGGGCATAGAACCACTTGTCCCAATCCACTTCATCCAAGAGCTTAGAAGCCTCAGCATCTGATTTGAAGAAGTCCAGAATCAGTGCTTTGAACTCATAAGAGTCGAGCGATTTGCACTTGAAGGTTGTGAAATACTGCAAAAAAAAAGTCAATAAAAGAAACCGAACAAGAGAAAAGAGGCCGCGTACGTGAGGAATGAACTTGTCAAACTTTGGCTTGCTAACCAGATTCTCGAGGTAGAACAAAAAGTTGAACCCCTTCTCGTAAGGAACACTGGAGAATGCGTCGTCGGGGTCTTTGCCCTTCAGATCAACGATAAGTTTAGTGAACTCATGATCGTCGCCAAAATGCTCGATAGCGTCAGTCAGAGACTTCCACCCAATGATGGCCGAAAAGTGACGGTAGGCTTCGCCGTGGATAGCAGCCAAAATCCTTCTCTCAAGGTAAACAGTCCAGCCTTCATTCAACCAGAAATGTTCCCATGAGGCATTGGTAACTAGGTTACCACTCCAGCTATGAGCCAATTCGTGTGCAATGACATCGATGTTCTCACGATCCTGGGGGAAATATTAGTCATGTTCCATATAGCCAGCTATTGCATAGAGTATACATACCTTCGAGATGATACTCGGGGTTGCGAAAGTGAAAATCGGGTTCTCCATCCCGCCATACGGGAAACTAGGCGGCAGGATCAAAACGTTGTACTCACCCCAGGCATAAGGGTAAACAATTTTCTGTGCGAGGTCAGAGTTGACTATTAATATGAATAGAACATAGGATGTGTACCTCAATCGTTGTGATGAAGTTCTCCGTATCAGCCTCGAGCTCCCATTTGCACTCTTCCAATTTGTCAGGGCTAGTTGCAACGACACTCCTAGGACCGATTGGCGCCTCAGCAACATCACTGTGAAGTTATGTGTTAGTAAACAGGACCTTTGGGAACGGTAAAGGCATTCTTACCCGCTAGCAATTGCAAAGAGGTAGCTGGGGATTGGCACCGACTGGTGGAAGCGATACAGTTGGTGGTTCGCCTTTGACTCCATGGACGACTTGCGAATCGGCAGCCCACTGGTCATGACAGGGAGCGGGGAGGTGATGTTGAAGTCAAAGGTGGTTTTGACATCCGGAGTATCCTGACAAGGGA